AAGAATGCTAATGCCTTTGATTGTTGATGAATGAAATGATAAAATGCGCTTAAACTCAAATGTATATAAACGCGAATATATATATATATATAGTACATCTCTGAGAATACGCTTGCATAGATGATGGTCTTGGTTAAGAAACGAAGTAAGCTTGAAAGCATAACATAACAACGCGTCTTGTGAGCAAATCATTGATGGCATAAATACCAAGGTATGGTAAAACAATAACAGAAACAACAACAACAAATCTAAAGAGAACAATCTTTAAAACATTTATAATTGCATTAACTTACAACAACAACGATAATAACAAAGAATTGCTTAGGCTGACAATTTGCCTGAACCCCCACGCTCTATGTACGACAATAGGAGTAAAGCCCTCGACATGCATTTAACCGACGGCACGATAAAGAATTATGACTCACTCACTGGCTGGCTGGCTGACTAACTGACTGAGTGACTGACCGACCGACCGACCGGCCGCCCGACTAACTAACTTGATAGTTGACACGCATGCTCACCTTTGAAGTTTACCTTAAAACAAAGGCAAAAAAAAAAAAAAAAAAAAAAAAAATGAAGCAAAAATATATAAAATCCCATTCATCTGGTAATAATTGGGTCACTGGCTCAATGAATAAATGTGGTAAAGGTGTTGCATTGATATCAATGATCTTTAAATCGTTCATAAGCCGAGTACATTAACGGGCCTTGCTTATTGTTCTTTCATTTTCATTCAAAATGAAATATGTTCGGATTATGAAAGGAAAACTTTTCTGCTTAAAGAACGCTTGGCATATATAAAAGTCACATTCTTCTTCTTTGGGTTATTACTGCGATAGACAATCTTTTTTCTCTTTTTTTCTTTTTTCTTTTTCTTTTTTTTTTTTTTGTATAAAGTTGAGTTATGATCTGACTTTTGTTTTTGTATCAAATTATTTTTATAATTTCTACTAAACGTAACATGATCACATAAATCCTTGATGTGGCTTGAGTACTAGCTGCAGCCAAATGTCTACTCTAGTCTATCTTTCTGTATGTCTGTCTGTCTGTCTGTCTGTCTATCTATTTGTACTTTTTGTTATAAGAAAAGCATAAACCATTTATACAAGATTTTCTATATTTTTTCTTCTTCTTTTTTTTTTTTTTTTTTTTGGGGTCATTTTAATCCTATTAGTAATGGTTTCAGAGAGTTTGGCGCTTTCACATGCAAGCGATGAAATAAAAAAAAATAAAAAAACCAACCAACCACACCAAACTAGCAGAAGAAAAGTGAGTAGTTGTGAGTAGCATTGGGAAAAAGAAAAAAAAAAAAGGAGAAAAAAAAACAAAACTTTAAACAAACTAAGTAACGCTTTCATTTTAAAAAGTGATTTTTTAAGAATAAATTTTATTTGAGTTATTTATTTATTTTTGTTTTAATATCTTTATCAGACACCCAGTCACTGATGTTGTCAATTAAAAAAGTTGCAAGTTATCTGAACATATTTCTGCAACTGTAAGATCTCTGCCAGAAGTTATACTAATTGTGTCACTTTTGGTAACATTCACAGACTTTTTAATCACTATTCGGTGTTTATTTGATTTAACTTTATTTCCCCATATATTCACTTGTCCTTGTTTTCAGTTTGTAACCTGGCAATGGACAAATATTGTGTGTACGGTAGAGAGACGCTAGTCATTTTTATTATAATAGTTTATCTCTTCAATTGTTTATTTTTATTAGGTTTAGCTTTTGTGTTAAAGGAGTTAATACTTTATCCGCGTCTGCAATGTGCAGATGCAACGATATTATCGTTGTATTTGTAATACTCCCGATCCTAACCGTTGGCTTGCGGGATTAATTTCCACGAATATTTCTCTTCTATTCACCTTAGTACCATGGAATAGCCCCATTAAGATGAGTGACTCAAATTCAGGTTACAAAAATCTCTTCTCAATGTAATGAGTTATAGATGAGAATTTCACACTATTTTCGAAGAGCAGACCTATCCGTGACCACAAACTGCTGAATAAAATTGTGAGAACTCCTTAAGAAGGCAATTACTTTACGATTAGGGCGTCCGCACAAGTCCTACATGCAAACAACTTACTTTCTCTGTTTTACCTTAAAATGGGTTGAGTTCTATGCGAAATTGGTCTCAGTTGATCTTTCCTCACGGAATTCATATTCGGTTGCGATTAACGGAGGACCATTCTCTCAATAAAATACCTAGTGCCCTTTGTCTTAGCGGACGGAAGCTTAATCATGATCGTAAGGCACATGCTTTATTGCGCACTATGCTTTATACTGTACACTACATACCATTAACTAAGTTGAAGTTGGATGTATGCACGCTATTTACCAACCCAGGGTATAAGGATTACTATAGGATATTGAACAAAACAATGATTTCTGCATCTGGAAATGATTTTTGCACCGGTAAGCTCCATGCATATGGTGTAAATTAACCCGCTGAAATTCACATAGCATAGTATATTGAAGTCGATTTTTTTTACCGACAAAACTTGTTGAGTTCAGTTCAAAAGAGAATTCGTGTGAATAGTGTTAGGCGAGGAACATTGGATGCGTTGCAATGTCCTGCTACAGTTAAGTCAAAGAACAAACCCATTAAACCAGGAGTCATGACATCTAAACTTTTTAGGAATAAATACTTTCGGCTCCAAGACAAACCGGCCCAAGAAAAGTTCTCAAGCGATAGAAATGCGCCGACTTCTTCGCCCTATTCACTGGGATTAATACTGAATTTAATCCATGACCTACCACCTCTTCGGGCAGAGCTTCGATCTTTGTGATGAACGTAAACACAATTTGAAATAAGCAAAGGGGTTTTTGTAATTTTCTAACTCACAACTACCACTCAAAAGATAATTTAAATGTTTTGCATACGCAGTTCTACATTAAGTAAGCGTAGATAGATACTTCCATACGAGATTTATTTTTTCAATCATAATTAATAGCGAGAAGTACGTGCACGAGAAAGTATAAAGTTTCGAAATCTTGAACCGCTTAGAATTCTTTCTCTATCCCACTCTCTAATCCTCCCGCCGGTCACAGCATGAGGTTCAACTATACTGAATTTTTTTCTTGTACAATTTATGTACTCTTGATTAATATACGGTTTTAAAACAATTTAATATATTCGTCCTTCCAATATTTATATCCAGTACAATTTCCTCGATCTCTCGGTCGTTAGAACTCTGCACTTGCTTAGTATATTCTTACTGGCACAAATTTGGAGCTGAACCCCTTCTCCTGCCATATGCATTCAGATTAGCTAAAAAATTGGAAGTAAGTAACTACAGCTGTGATCGATCTACAATATGCTAGATATGCTCGAAGAAAAGCGCCCAAAAATCCGGGCCGGAAAAGTCACAAAAACTGACAATTCAACACAAAACCTTGAGATTTTCAGGTTTATAAGTACCGAAGAAACGCCACAAGGATATACAAGCACTTTGCATCATTGTTAGAAGTTACCAAAACGCTCTAACGCCTGAGAACTGAAATGCGCCTTCAAGTCTTCTTATAATGAATATCGTTAAGATATCGAGATACCAAGACAACGTTTCAAAAATTCGTCGCAAGCTTAACGTAGTCTCCCTTTCCGTCTTATATCACATCTATTGCAATAGACAATTAGTCATAAATTCAAATTAGATTTAAAAAGTCAATTACAAAAAAAAAAAAGAAATAAAACAAAGAGCAACAAGAAAAATTATTAAATTTCAACCCACACTTAAGAACACCGTTCTCCCAAAACTAATGCAATACGTAAGACGTACTGTGAAATCACACCGCAGTGGACACACTCCAAATACAATGCAAAGTGTACTATGATCTATGAAATTGCTTAGAAAGACAGTCTGGCATACTGGCATTATGTTGTGACCTATTAATGAAATTGTAATTATTTCAAACAACCTAAGGCTACGAAGAAATAAAACTAAAAAATTAGAATAATTTACATGTATATATATATATGTGTGTGTGTGTATTAACAATTAGCAACTGGACATAGAATACATAAAAAGGCAACAATAATTATAATCAGAGGATTTAGAACAATGAAGGTCTGGGATATCGCTTATCTTATAAGCGAGCTTTAGGATTAAAATAAATAAGCACTGGAAACGTTCTCTTGTGATTGTAAAAAAAAAATAAAAAATGTTAACAAGCAGAGAATTTTCCCAAAACGAATGCTATTTAGCGTTAATAGTGCGAAGAATGAAACGAAAGAAAACGACAAAATGCTAACATTACAACAACAGCAATAATAACAACAATTAACAACGATAAGGAGAAACGCTTAGCGTGATCAAGACATAATAACGCATGCGATCACATTTGCCGTTTAAATCAACAAATGTCTAAGCTTAAGGAAAGCAAACAACAACAACAACAAAAGAAAAAGAAAAGAAAACGCGTCATCAACTGCAACAGTAGCCAGCAACAGCTGAATAAAAACAACAATAACAAAAGCAAATAATAATAATAATAATAATAATAATAACAATAACAAGAAGAACAGCAATCTGAGAAAAGAGATTAATATGGACTTTTGAAGAAAAACGTGCTACACAGTCGCAAATTTCATTGAAATTGTTTTTGTCTTTCTTTAGTTTTCTGTTCAAACGGTGTTCGCTTGCAAGAGTTGATTGGGAAAAGAAGGTATAAAAGGTTTCGGCTCCCATCTAGCGGTTCAATCATACGCGAGCTATCTGGCTGTTAAGCGATTTCAATTGTTAAACGTTAAACGTTAAATGTTAACAACGTAATCTTTGTGCAATTAATTTAATTAAAAATAACGATTTCTCGCGGTTATAGTTTTCTTGTGCGATTTTTGTTTTTTTTATTACTTGCTTTTTATATTTTAATGAAAGAAAGAATTGTGAGTGAATGTAAAAAATTTCAACCCCGACAAACTTCAAATTTATATTTTTTGCTTTTTTTTTTTTTTTTTTTTTTCTTAAAAAAATAAACAATAACAACACAATATTTATGCAATAAAAAGGTGAAAAAGAAAAAAAGTAGAGAGAAGGAAAAAAAAAGAAAAAAGGCAAGAAAACAATTCAATTGCAGTTATCAAGAAATGCCTTGGGCGAGACCAGAGAGACACTAACGGCGACATCCTGTGAATTAAAAAATCATATAGAAAAAGCACAGAATTATTAAAATTAACACCACAACCGCTTGCTTGCCGATTGATTAACAGCAAAAACAACAATAATAATAATAACAACAACAACAATAATAACAATAATATATAAATTTTTTAAATATACAACAATAATAACAACAATAACAACAATTATAATAAAGTTTGACTTTGATTTGTTGGAATTGTTGTCATTGAACGGATTCGAGTAGAACGCGAAGTGGAGTTGGAATACCAATCATTCATAAAGGCCACAGCAATTGCAATATCACTACTGCAGCACTATGAACGCGAAGGTGAATAAATGCAATAATCATTTACAATATGAGTGCAAAAGGCAAACAAACAAATGCAAAATGCAAGAAGAATGAATAAAATAACACACATACCCACGATCATATACAATAATCTATGTCGATAGGTTTATTTGTTTGTCCGTTTGTATGTTTATATGTCTGTCTGTCTATCTGATTGTTCAGGCATATTAATGCATTTAACATTCTTGTCCGCGACATAAGATATATCTATGCTTGCTACAATATAACGTAGAAATTTACATCATACACATAATGTAGATATTGGTAGACATACATGACATATGTTTGTATATCGCAAGTGGTCAACGCTTATAAAGGGTATTTATTTAACTTTCCAAGTGTGGATTGTTTTTTTTTTTTTTTTTATTAAACGATACCTGACTAAATTTCAAAATCAATGGAACCTATTGAACTATAAATGAAGTTAAAATTTAATAAAAGGAAAGAATTAGAAGAATTTGTACAATGTGTCCGCACCACACTGCAATGTATATATGAATTTCAGGAATTATACAATTTTCAAAAAAATATTACTTTACCAAACCGAACCTACTGTCTGAGATATGCGCGTTTGTTGAATGACATTATCTTCAAACTTTAGGGCAATTTTTATATTAATTGGTGTACAAACAACCGGTAGAAAAGTTAAGTTATATAGAGGTCGTCACGATCTCGCGCAAAAAATTTCCATTTCGTCTATCGTACAAGAAATTAATGGCAAAGAGCAAGCCAGCCTTTAAATACTTTACAGCGAACAACTGCTCCAAATTAGATTCTATTGCTGTATAGAGAGATTCACTTTCGATGGGAATCCTTATAAGAAAGCGAGGCCAAAAAGGAAAACAAAGTGATTCACAAAGTTATATCTTCTTGCAATATTAAGGTTTATTTTTTTGGATGAAAGTCTATACAAGGGAAGAATTTGAAATTTAGTTTCATCATATCCGAAGCAAGCAAATGTACTTTGCTACTACTTCAAAGTAGGAGTAATTGGTTGAAATTTCAGCCTTCTGTGTGGACAGACGCACGTACCTACACTCAAGTTGTTCTAAATTTAAAACTGGGCCAATTTCCTCGATCACTTCGACCACGCCTAAACACAATTTGTTCATGTATACGCCAATTGCATGAGACGAAAGACGCTTGAGCAGTCGCTCAACCCCTTTTTACTTTAGATAAATATAATGAAAGGCAATAAGAGACACCCTATTTAGATGAAATAAATATTAATATTGAATGTTCTGGATTACATAACAATAAAAGCAATAACCTGATCTACTGGATTTTCGATTAATTTCTAGAATTATTTCACACACGCACACATACATAGCTCACCAAGTATAACAATATTTTTCAATTACTCGGTATTAAATATTCAAAGTAAGTTCATGCTCACATCTAGTTATGTAGTTAAAGAAAAGATAAAAATCTTTATAATATAACAAGTGTAATAAGCGTGTAAATGTCTAAAAAAATTTGCTTTAAAAAAATACCAAATAAAATACACTTCATATTTAGCTTTACTTATCAAGCGGCGTTATGTTGTGATGAGCTAAAATTTTAGCCTCCATAATTAAAGGGAAACGATTCTTTCTTTAAGTTTACAATTTTAACAATTTTGACTTACCTGCGGCATTCATCTTATACGACGACATTTACATCTTATTTTCGTTAATAGCTTAGGATTATGTGGAAATTTTCGAAATTTTTTGAGTTCGTTTCAGTTTTTTGTTTATTGCGGTTATGACCGTAAACATTTCTTCTTTCAGTTCTTATTAACCGTGTACGCGTTAACCGCACCAAAGTGAAGATTTGATTCGACGAAATAAATGTGCTGTGAAATAAATAACGAATGAAATAAAAAATTATCATGCGATATAAAACTTGCAAACTTCAGTAGGATATAATATAAATGTCATTTAATGATATTTTTTTCTTTTGGTATATAAGATGAATGTGTCATACTAACATGGTTGCTATAATTTTATAATTGAGTGAGTACTAAAAATAAACTACGCAGATAATTGAACATTAGAACTGTAACAGAAAAAATCAGGGCACCTTTGTTTCCTTAGGCATTTTTTTTAATTATGCAAAAATATTGACCAAATCTGAAACAAAAACCTGAAGGAAAAATTCACTTCCAAAGTATTTTTTCAAAGTTTAAAATTTGAAATGTATTGGAGACTGTCCTCCGTAATTCTAGAACCTTAAAATATATATTTAATGCTAATTAGGAGAAGCAGCATATTTTCCAGAAACGATTAAAAACTCGCTTTCAACTCATAAGCACTTGAAAGATAGTATTACCTTGTGAGATATTATAAGTGGTTTTTTGTAAAGCGAAATTTGAAATTTTGATTAAAGCATCAAAATAACTTTCTCTAAATTGCAGTGAGCCATTTAGCATTCCCTCAGGATGCTCACTACATTTTATACAATATTCGCAGAAAATGTTTGGTCCTTTGCAAAATTGTAACCGGCAGTGATACGGAAAAAAAGAGCAAGTAGAGCAGAAAGGTTTCCTATTTAACCAAAACTTATGCTTTCATATGTAAAACCCGCACAATAATGTTTACCTTTTTATGTATATTTTGCAAAAGAATTGACACAGGTGTATGTTTATAAATATCTTGATATAATTAAAACGGAACTTCGTCTCCGTTATGTAAATAAGAAAATCAACGTTTTAATGTTCATTTTCTAGCATGTATACTTTTATTTAAAAGTTTCAAATACGAGATAGAAATCTTGAAAAATTTTTGTAAAGTGAACTCTTAACCAGTCGCTTAAGAGCGAATTGGGAAACGAAATATGTTTTCAATCTGTCATTGTTAGCACCAAGAAGCGAATTTCCCCTCAGGGGACATCGCAAAAAACTAAAAGAACAACAAAGTTCTGAAGAAACCGAAAGAAATTTCATAATAGAAAATTTTCAATACATAGAGGCCTATACGATGCTAATGGGATCTTATCGTTTAGGGCACTATCTTTGGCAGCTCTTTTCAAAATCCCTTCAAGGTGGCGCATTTGAAATAATCCTGAATTTGTAAAAATAGATAACTAAAACTATATGTAAAACACACCCTTTTCGTTTGTGGTCACGCCGTTTTTGTTAAATACATAAAAGTGAAGGTCTTTTGTTAGCTTAGAGGCAAAAAAAGTTGTTAAAGAAGTTACACAAAAAAAAAAAAAAAAAAAAAACGAGTATAAAAAAATATTTAATTGTTGGTGGACACACCCTTTAATTAATTGTATATGTTTGGATTTGTTTTCCAGCTTTTTATGGCATTATTGTCGGTCACAATAATGACGAACGACGCTGAGAGTGAAGCAGCCCTACGTCGTGTACCCAAAGTCTACAACGCTTTGATTACTACCGACGAAAATCTGACATCAAGTCAAGCTTTTCCTGTTATACAGCCTACTTTACATGAGACTGGTATAGCTCATTACGCACTGCCGCCTTTTGGTCCTTATGGTTTTGCGAGTCCTCCGTTGGTTAGATTGGGTCCCCCTCTTCCGCCGCCAATTGGTTTCCCACCCAAAGAACAGGTTCGTTTTAAGTTCGTATGAAATCGTTTATGAATTGAAAATATTTTTATGCACAATAGTTTCCGTATCCGGGTCCGTTACCACATTTACCGCCGCATTTGATATCCCCATATCCTGGTGCATATCCGCAATCGCCAAATCTACCCACACCGCCAGTTGAAGTAAAACCTCAAAAGCCGGAGACACCACCAACTGCTCCAGCTGAGCAATCACCGCCTCCTGCTTCCACTGTAATGCCACCTCCAACTGGGCCTCAAGAAGCTAAAGCTGCACAACCTGGAACATCCAAGTCGCTTAACCATCCCTTACCTATACCTCTGAACCAATATGGTTTGCCGCCCTCATTGATACCGATTCGACAATACCCCGGTGCTGAGGCGCGCCCTTTACCGTTGCCACCATACCCCTTTAGTCAATATCCTCCAGTATTTTACGATCCTATTACCGGGATAAGACAACCGTTCTTGCCTCCTTTTGATTATCTGCCCACCGGCCCACAATATCCCTTAAGTAATACCATACAGACAAACGAAATTCAACCATCTCAACCAAATCCGCCATCAACCAAGAGACCCGAAATTACTACCAGTTTGCCGGAACTTACAACGGAATACGTTTCCACACCTCCAACGACAACAACAAATGAGAGCCCTACCACCGATTTTGAAAATATTAAAAATGGTTCAAAAAGCGAGGACAGCAACGTGCCGGATGTACCGCCACCACCAATACCGACCAGCGCCAAAGCACCGCAACCCTAGACGCGACGTATGAGCAACTTAACAACTAAATCCATTGCTTCGTTTACGTGTATTTTTAGATAAAATTTTTAAGTTATTTTAATTTTATCTCTAAGTAAATATTAAAAAAAAAAAAACTCATGACAGTCCTAATCTCGCACTTAATAGTTTAGTGGAGACACACAGAACAAGCAATTTTTTTTCTACTCTTTTCCACTTTTCTTTTCCTAATAAAAATTAATACTGAGTTCAATGAATTTTCAATCTTACCAAAAGATAAACAAAATGCTTAAGAGAGCGTGTCAAAGAACTTTAATCATGTAAATACATGGACGATTATATCCCCGGAGGAAAACCGGACAATACAAGTATTGCAACGATACACAAGAGAAAACAATGCGTACCCATGTGAATACGCATCATATCAGAGACTATCCTACGAAATTCAAATTTCAAGAGCATGTGTTAGTGAGTGATCGGTTAATCGCTAGTACAAGCACGCGCCTTCCCTCGGGAAATGTGATAGAAAGGCAAAGTAGAAGAAAAAATGAATTGAATGATTTTTAAAAAATCTATAAAAGCGCAAGCATTTAACGGATCGAGCAATCAGTCTGAAAATATTTTATTAACAACAATAGCAAGTATGAGATATCTAATAATTATGGCAGTGCTCGTTATCTTTGTCGTAGGTCAGTGCTATAATTTTAGTAACAATTAAAATCTATGTTAAACCTGAAACAATTTTACAGCTTGCCACGCGTTGACTTTCAAACCCTTTCTACGTAGCCGTTATAGCATGCGTTGGACTAAAACTACCGAGGCACCTAAGCATATTGGGGTCATCTTAGCTTCCACTACTCCCCAGGACGTATCGACTAGTAAAACACTTAAAGCGTACGACTCGACTGTGACATCGTTCATTAATAATATTCCCAGCGTTAAAACTTCCACACATCTACCAGATTATGATTACTACGGCAACAACGAACTGGATGATTCGGATCGGAATTAATTATACGTTTTCAGCAATTATTATAAATGAAATGATTTTACATACGAATGTGTGTATAATTTTTAAAAATACAGTTAGAAAAAGAATTTTTCCTGTTCCTACTTTTTGTTACCCAAGAGCAAGGTTATACAATATTTCCTATCATACCGGCATCCTGTGGATCAATGATCGTCACTGGTTGCATTAACCTAGTTATTGTTTTGGCCAAGTCTGCTGTACATACACAATTTTGACACAAACATTCTACTTACAGCCAGTATCTCGTTCGGTATAAGCAAGTTTTTTCATTTTCCTAAAGGGCTTGATAAAATTGCTTCCTATCTTTTTACTTTCTTTTATCTGTGTCACAGCAATTATCATTGCAATGGATTCTAGCTTTTTGAAATCTAGCAATTTTTATGGCCCATTTTTTCTAGTTCGTAAGATAAATTGCTGTCTTTTTCGCTATAAAAGAACAGAACAATTTCACAATTTACTTAACTCTTATTCTATTCTAACGCCGGCTTTGTAGGTCAACCTGAAAATTCTAAACTACTTTAATTCAGTTGATTACGTATGGATAATGATTGAAAAAAGTTGGTTTCTTGAGAAAGCGACGAAATTATTCTTAAACCTTTTTTGGACATGGCTACTTTTATGTGGAATTTCATTAACAAAACAAAATTTAATCACTTACGTCGTAAAACTAAACATTTTTCTTTCGAATGTGAGCAATCTGACGAAAATTGTACACTTTATCACATTTTGATTGTGAGCAATGGGCTTGGAAAAAATTTGCATGAAAAAATATGGCGGACAGCGTCAGTAAATTAACTGCGAACCCGTTAGACTACGCAACACAAATGCACGTTGTCACACAAAATTCATTGTCTAGACTAAAATTAATTGAAATTTCACACATATGGTAGCCTCTCGAAAAACAGCTGACATAAGAAAAAAACGAAAATGAAACAGAGACAGCAGTGAGAGAGAAATGTTTACATCAAATTTTTGTAAACTATTACAATTGCTTAAACTAATAATTATTAGAGAAGCATGACTTTTATTAAAACATTATTACTATTACAACATCAAGCCGCCAGAAGGTGCGCTTATCAATACTTCAATCAATCAGCAGCTATAAGCAACAACAACAAATCCCTCAAATTACTTAGAGATAATGAGGCAAAGTAAGAGCTAAGAACATATACATAAAATTTGAAAGCACAGATTTTATATATTAAAACACGGATTTCATATATAAAATGATGTAGTAAAAGAGAAACGCCTAATAAGAGCACAACTCGACACGGTTGCAGATACTACTCGATAACAGAACAATTTGAAACTTGTAGGGAGCAAAAGAAGCCTACATTCCAACAGGTAGTTACTAAGAAGAAAAGAATGGTGAGTTCAAATTATTGACACAAATTTGGATAATCTGTGGCCAAAGAAGAACTCCTCTAGGGCACAAATTTTTCATGAAGATTTTGAAAATGTTATCATGTATGCAAGACCTTAAGGTCATTGAAAATTTCAATAATTTACAGTCAAAGTCTCGTATTAAATAAAAAAAGTGAAAGTACAACCAAAAAAAAAAAAAAGATTTGATTTAACTAAACAAATAAAACTGGTTTATAACAAATTATTGAAAAGTCACAACAAGTACTTGAGAAGATTTAGAAATCTTTAAACAAACAACATTTGACTTGATTTATATGTTTGCTTACGGTAATGTAAAAAATTTGTTTCCGCAGCCAAAACTTAGCGAAGACCAGCGTAAGGAACTTTTGCAGCCATTACTCAATGCCGGCTGGAGCTTGGTGAATGGCCGTGACGCCATCTACAAAGAATATGTATTCCGCAATTTCAATCAAGCTTTCAGTTTTATGTCTGGTGTTGCTTTATTAGCCGAAAAAATGGATCATCATCCAGAATGGTTTAATGTCTATAATAAAGTTCAAGTCACCATGTCCAGCCATGATGTAGCTGGTCTTAGCGAACGCGATATACGAATGGCTAAGTACATGGAAGAGCAAGCTAAGCGTTTTGCTTAAATGTTTTCTTATTTATTTTAATATGCAAAGAGTTTATGTTGAATAAATTTATTCTCATTTTATTTAACTAACTTTTAATCAAACGTGGTGGAACGGATTTACTTAATATTTCATAATCAGCTCTTTCTAAAACATCCGGCGTTGTATGGTCTAAAGTATAGCCTATATTCCGAAAGAATGTCCGAGCACCATCATTGTTTATCAAAACAGTCAAAATCACTTTTTCCATATTCCAAAAGGAAGCACATTTTTCCAAGGTAGTCATTATAAACTTGCCTAAACCTTGTCTTTGAACTGAAGGATCAAGTTGCAATTCATAGCTATAAAAATAAAATTGATCCGATGAAAATTGATAGAAATCAACAGAAAAAGTGTATTTACCAATATAACACGCCCTGGCCATAATCCATATCAAAGCGAAACATAGCGTAGCCAACGGGTATCTTATTGCTATCGAGTGCCACCAGATACCGAGCCCAAGTCTTGTTTAAATCACTTTGCTTCACCTTAGGCTTCCAACCCACACTAAGTCGTTTGTAAAACGGAGCTACATTCAATTCCGCAAGCTTAAATGCCCATTTTAGAATTTTTGCATCCAAATCTTTTTTACATCGACAATATAGCGAATAAATTTTAGATTCCACGCCGCCAGTTGAAGTTTCATACGAGAAAGCCCCGTGTATGGATTCTAAAGGATTTTTCGCACGCGATGCAATTTCTACATTACGCTGCGGATTATACTGAGCCATTTCTCAAACAAATAACGGGACTTTACTAAATTAAATATAAACAACGATAAACACGCTTTTCAAGAAAAAATCAGTGGAAGAAAGCGCGAATCCGATGGAATTATTATTTGTAATTGTTGTAAATTGTTCTGAGAAGGTATCAATAGCATCTGAATGGTGTACGCATAATAGTTCCGAACTGGCAATACCGTAAAAAGAACAGTTGATAATAAACAATTTGCCTGCTGCGTTAATTTTTTTTTTGCATTGTTCAACATAAGTCGCGAATCTTGTAATCTCTCCAGTTAAAAAAACGGCAAACCCATAACGCTCGTAAAATTACCTATAAAAAACCTATAAAAAATGTTTAAGAAATCGCGTAATCATAAAACCTTGGCACCGCCAATACCTCCAAGCATTGAAGAAATTCGAGAAGACATGAAGACATTTCAAATAGACGTTGAACCCCAACCCAATTCTACAAGTAACTCATTAGAAACTTGGTGGTACACATTTGAGCAATTTATTAATGACTTAAAATGTCTGAAAATGCTTGAGAGTGAAATTGCAGACTACAAAGTGAAATTGGAGACCCGTCAAATAGAAATTGATACAGAAGCCAAACTTTTAAAAAACGAAATTGAGGAACAGAAGCAACATATTGATTCAATCATAGATTAAATGCAGGCAAACAAATGTAGACTTGTCAAATAACAAGCGTAGAGTAAATGCAAATGATTAATAACTCTATTTATTATAAGTTGAACAGGCAAATAGCAGAGAAAACGTAAAAGAATAAATGTATTAATGCTGAAATATTAGTTTTTTAATTTGCATTCGACTACTAATGCATATCTTCTCGTAGTCTTCTTAATCCGACTTCAAAGGTACATATGATAAGATAACTGTCGATCCCGGCGAAACTTCCAATTCATCAGTAAGAATGTTGGACTTGGTATTGTTACTGCTGATGATGAAATTATCGCTGAAAGAATGAAGCGACATCTTTTCAGGCATCCCCTGCAGGGTAAAATTGTCTTTACGAGCAACCTTTGTAGGATTATAAACTACAAAATAACCCGGATTACCAGATTTACTCCTGTAATATGCAAGTGGAAGATATTATTTTCTGGACTTAGTAAAAAAAAAAAAAAAAAAACTGAAGTTTCAAGACAATTAAATGAAATGATAATAGAGCCCCTCTCACCTTTGCCTATTGACAATACATATTAGTATAAGAGCGTATGGGTTTGTTAATGAATAATAAATAAATGAATTATTGATTAGTTAATTATAAAATTTTAGCCGCATAGAATTTTACCTTGCATATGCTAACAAATACTCAGAATCGAAAGCTTGGAAACTGCCGTGCATATAAGAGGGAGACGAACGCAATTGTGAGATTTGCTTATAGATGGAACCATTTATTTTATCGAGGCCATCAGTTGGCAACACTGGTGCACCAGGAAGCAATGAAAAAAAATAAATTATAGCTGAGGGATTGTCCGTCGTAACTTTATTAATATCCTCTAAGTCCCATTGAAGCCATGCACCCTCCCTTTCTATTTCCCTCATGAACTGAGCATTGCCGGGGACATATCCTTCAGAACGTATGTTTTGCACAAATCTGCTATACATAGGTATATCGACACTCATCTCACCGTTGCGTGTTTTGTAAACCTCCGGACGTATCATGTCTTCGGCCACGGTGAAAAGTGCATCGTCGGTTGAGTTCTCAAAAATTGCCTTATATTCATATAAAGTATCTCCCAAGCCCTCTTGGAAAGTTGTATGAAAATGAGTCCAAAAACGGTAGTCAGTTAAATCGTATTGTGTATTCCCGCTTGGTACCTCGTCTTGGAGATCTTTCGATAGAATATAAAACTTCGAATTTTTCATTCGTATCCCTTTTACACCAAGCGCAGCCAGATGACGCAATACATCACTTAATTCACGCTTTACGATGGTATCATTCATACGTAAATCATACAATCCGTCGCCAAATTGCGAAAGTACATAATTTCCAGGCAACACTTCAGACCAAGCCGATCCATTTACTAAAGATAACCATTTGTTAGGTGCTTCAGGGTTTTCGATCCAAATAAAGGCTGAACGTTTAGTTTCATCGGCTAAGGCGTCTGTCATAATACGCGACTGCTTCGGTACAAAATTTGGAACAATATCGAATACTATATTTACATCTATATCATTGTACCGATTAACAATGTCCTTGATCTTTTTTTCAACATCGGCGTCGCGTACGGTGTAAGTGAACTCTGCTGGTAATTCATAAATCGCACCGGCAGCCTTCATTTTCTGGACTTTAGCAATATCATCATCGGCAACGGAGAAAGTCGAGAATTTAGCCAGAAGACCGCGTTTATACCACGGCAATGGTGCAGGTGGAGCGCATTTAGGAGCATCAATTATAATAAAAATGGCACCACCTAACATAGCCAACCAAATAAGCCAGAAAGTAATGAAAAATATCCAACGTAAACGGACCCAAAATGGATCATTCGCATATTTCATTAATTCCTCCTTAGTCATACCAGTGAATGCCTACGCAACGCGGTATAAAGAAAGTAAAAACGAGATCTTGCAATTATTTTAATGTCTCGGAATGCGTAAAAAATATTCAGTTACCGGTGTTGGTGTGCCACCGATATCGATCTTGGCATCACCATTCTGATGATCGCCCTTTATAAATTTCACTTCGTCGCGTTTAACCGTTAACTTGTCATTGTCTTCGACTCTTAACATCTGCTCATCGGCTCCATCGTTAACTGCATCTTCCTGTGTCATTTTCTGGTCTGTCGTAGAGTTCACTTCACTTTTTAAAGCAAGATTCTCAAGCGGCGGCAAACTTGTTTTCTCTATTTTTTTAATAAGATAAAGAGATAATGTAAAAAAAAATTACGTATTCTGCGCATAGTAACTGAGCGTGTTTGAAAACCTTAACTAATACACATGCAAATGATTTTTGAAAGTTAATAAGGAAATCTTATCGGTGTCATTAAAGATTAACTAACAAAGTGCATGATGTTTAGAATGAACAAATTTAAATAATTAAAGTACTAAGTATTTCTTAATTACGAATAAAAAAATATTAGAAAAAAATACGTATAAACAGCGAAGGAGAAAAACCGAATATCGATACACTACAATCTTGGACGAATGTAGCCCGTTTGTTGTAGAATCACCCATAGAATGGAAAACTTGAAATTATTTCCAATATTCTATCCAAACTTGAAGTCTATAGGTTAACCTTTCCAAGCGGGAAAATATTTACCGCTGAGAAACGCACAGATGGACCGACATGACCACATCGATGCAGAATATGATACCCATCATGATACATAGTCTTTATCGTTTATGGAGCTTACTTTCAAGTGTTAACGAAAGCTCCAAACTTCTGTAATAAGCATAAAAACTTTGCAAAAGCGAAAATTCTAGTACCTTACATGTTATGACAAATGCCAGAAAGATGTGAATATATAGTGGGACGAGCATAACCTATGCGGTAATAATCAATTCTTAGATTTGCTTCTAAGTGTTTGTTCAAAGTTACACGTTACTTATATCATTACAAAGAATGGAATAAATATGACATTTTTATTCATATATTTAATTTAAACACAGATGTACATAAGTGCGTACAAATTGAAAGCATTCCAATCAATGAATTTCAATTTAAAAAGCCCGCAGAGCCGCCCATTCATTATGTTCTAATCAAATTTTTCATTTTATATGTAAAAACTTTAAAGCTGAATAATTTCTCGAATAATGAGTACGAGAGTACACTACACTACGCCCTCTGCACTTAAACTAGATTGCTGGCCTTGCTGTTGAAATTAACTCCTGATGCAAAAAATTGAATGAATCACTGAAAGTTTCCACTTTAAAGGTAGAAACAAGAACTTCAATAAATTTTCAAAGTTCTCACATTTCTACTGCGATAGCACATAGCGATCTGAATTTGGGTTAATGTGTTTAACGGAATTTCATGCTAGTTATATATCAAGCGATATCAAGTGGCACCACAAATTGCAGTACTTTCATAAACCTAGATTATACAGGTATCAACAGCGGACAAATGTTTCAGATATTTTTTAAGATTTACTTCCAAAATTCTTAGCGCATTACAATATTAAAATTTTCTGGCTTTTGGGAATCGATTAAAACAATTCAAAATGACAAATTATAAGTCCAGAAGTTACAGGAATCTTTTTCAAGCGGTGTATGTTCACTATTCGAATCTAACTTTACTTTTTATTTAAGTTATTTTAAGAGAAATTAAAGCTCAGAAAAGAAGGTCAAACAAATCTAATACGAAATCTTTAAGTGGCGTTTATTATCTGACGCAACTCTCTTTACAAATTAAGCCGATTTTAAGTAAATGAATATGAACCGCCACGTGTTGACATAACTTGGATAACATTTACAAACTTACATAGAATGTTTTTAAAAAAAACTCCACCACCCTCCTTGAATAGAACAAGTTGTAATGGTAGCGTAATCAAGATATCTAAAATTCTGTATCCTTGAAAATTGAACAAGGTGTGCCTTCTCTTAGATATGTATATATCACACTGTATGTAAGGCAATATGTATCATTTTTATCTTTTTGCACAGCGAGCTTGATAAAACGCGTAACGATAAATTTAACCGCAAATAACTTTTTTTTACTTATTTTCTCTTTTTTCTATAAATTTCTTCTCCATAAATTTGTACTCACCAAAACCGTTTTCAGCTTTAATGGGATTGCTGTCGTCTTTTTTAATATCCTCAAATATTGGCTTATATGTTTCCACTTCTTTTTCCGTCTGCTTCTCGGAATAATCTAAAGAGCCGACATTAACTGTTTTGCTGTTTCGTTTTAGTATATTCCTCATGTTTAAATAGAGTTGCCAGCTGTTTATAGAAAAAACTGCGCGTAAACAACAAGATCTGCTACTGGCTTGCAGCATGCTATTGACGTTAAATTAACATAATAACTAGAAATGCCTATTTACCAGCTAAGTAACTAATAATATAAACAAATTTTTACATTTTTTAAAGTTTAAACTGATCAAATATGCACGGTAGGAGGTAAAAATAAATTTAAAGTGAAACCCTCAGAAAAAACTACAATTTCAATACATATTGACACCTCAAAAGCTGTGATATAGTGGTTGATAAGGAATCTATAGAGTGAAATCCTTCCGTACACAAAGTGAAGATAAAATTTTCATCACATTTTTAAAACTAATTCTTCGAAAAAGTTTCACTCTGGTCGGCAGGTTTTTAGGTCACGCAATTGAAAAAAAAGAAGCGACTTGCGGCTGACGCGAAAGGTCAAGAAAAAGAAGCATTACACTTCCATTTTATTTCTATAAAATATGAAAAATTATTTTTTGGAAATTGAAAAATCACATACAAAAAATTATATACCAAACTTAAAGTTTAATAATTCCTTTCATTTTTGGTTTTTTTGTAAATTTAAAAAAATGATGAAAATTTTTAGTGGACACAATATTGTAATCCCTTAACTAAATAAATAAAAGGGAAAGTTTTATGGAAAACCATAAGTACTCGTTTCTAAAATGTTTATATTTTTAATGATGCAATAAATTATTACTGAAATTTAGTAATTATTGTTCAAGAAATACACGAAATTTTTTCCGTTTCATATTTAAATAGTTAAAGTTAAGAAAATTTAACAAAACATACCAAACCGTCGAACTAAGAAATGAAAGAAAAACCACTAATGTACACTAGTGTTTACTGAAGTCTTCTGGTCTAAAGACACGTCCAGCGCAACGCAGTCGCCAATCTATTACTAAATTCACATATGGGAATGCATTTAACTTTAAGTGCGTGATTTGAGTTTGTGTTCCAATCGTCAAAGAAAAATTGCAGACTCCATATCAGGTTTGGAGTTGCATGTATGTATGCATGCATGTGTACGTAAATTGCAGTGATTTGAAAGAAAAGTATGTAAGAAAAAAAAAGATATACATTTTGAGGCGAAGCTTAGATACCTAACATATCGTTGCGGACCTCAGAATAGGCTACCTATGGCACTCCTATATGTATATATATATATATATATTTGTTTTATTTTATGAAAATGAATTTTAAAACTTGTAACATAGGCGTATCGAGGCACTTTGAATGAACGGCTGCTTTAACGTTTTAAGCTTATCAAGTAACGCTGGTCTATTAGCGAAGTAACTTGTAACTTCATAGCTACGTGCAGGCATGCAGGTAAGGATTTTTACAATTTCTTCAATTCTTGCAAATAACATCAGAAAGATAGTGCACATCCACCATCGGATAATGCCGATGAAGCATGAGAAGACTTATTTTGTTGAAATTTTAAAATGCGTAGTTGCTCGATTCCAACCTGTTTTTAAATGCTTGTATACGCGTCTATACCTACGTAGGACACTATCCATTTCTTTCTTTCAAAAAAGAATTTCTGGTGACCATTACTTCAATTTTTTTGCTTTTATTCCATCTCGCAATTAATAATAATGAGGATTTGTTTATGTGCGTTTGTGCATACGTATAGGAATGAATTTAAATAAATTGCTTAAGAATCTTTTGAGAGCTTTTAATATTGAATTTGAAACTAGTAAGACTGCGATCAAAAAGTACGAGGACCACCACCTCTTTGATACCCTCGTTTAGGCGATGCATTACGAATTTCTTCTCCTAAGCCAAACTACCTCTGGAGTGTTACGTTTTATTTGCGCAAATCTATTCGCCAACACTTTGGAGAGAAAACTCTTGGTTTACTCTTGGCATAACCTTAAATTCCCCTCAATTATGCCGATATGGCGCGTTACAAATCTCTTCCATCCAACTGTTTTTGCTTGTTATGCGTCATATGGGTGCAGTTATTCATCACAAATATATGGGAATATCTCTTGGTTTTGGCATCACGGCACATTAGTTCTTTGGAAATTTTTGAAACACAAAAAAAAAGGGGGAAATGCTATGAAGACATTATTCTGGTTCACGTGAGGAGGACATAAACCGAAGCGTCAAAGGCTTTGAAGACCAATCGTCTTTAGCAACAGTTTCAACTAACTGTCATAGTGGTCCAAAACCTCTCTACTTAATTAAAAATGTAAAGCGTTCTTCAACTACTTCCAACAATCGCGACTACGAAGTCCAGATTTATTTCTTATCGATATGCGCAGATCACACCAAACATTAAGGAACTAAAGTAATCTTGCAAAATAGCCAAGGAAAGCTTTGAAACTGATAGTGATCTGCAATTTCGCACAATTACTTACTATACTGTACAATAGCTATACAATAATAATAGGTGATCCAACATAACCTCAAAAGATGGAAACCAAACTCCTATGCTTCACTTTAGGTGCTTCAGGTCAATTTTCAATTTTACTAAAGGCAAATGATGCGCATGAATCCTTCATAATTTTATACTAGGATACGCAATAACTCAATTAATGGCTGGGACAAATGCCCATAGGACTGCAATGTTACGTTTTCTTAGTGTGGATCAGAAAATTTTTAAATTTTTTTAGGAATGAGTAGCATATGAAAGCGATTTTAACGTAAAGAGTGCGATTTTAGTTCGGTTTGCAAGCGAGCCAAGTGTCGGCCTGCGGTGCGATATTAAGACGGGAGTTGAAATATTGCAGCTAAAGAAGATTTTGAATATAATAGCAATGTGTTCAAAATGTAAAAATAATTTTCACTTTACCAAGACGCGTCCTCGCATACCTTTATAATTATTTGTCGATTTCTCAACAAGGTAATGTCTTCCCACAAATTTCGTATTCACCTAATACTGACGATTTCGGGGATGCATTATCTTTTGGAACGATTGCGGAAACTTCGTTCCCTGCTAAACGTTTAGACGCAATACGAGCCGAATAATATGAAACTTCTGTCGGATATTTATGGTAGTATGGGTCAACATAAAGAACTCCATCCCTAGTATTACGTAAAAGTACAACATTGTAGCATAGAGCAGAGAAGAAATAAAATTGATTCGATTTCAACTTCCATTCCAAATGCTTGCTTCATCATTATAATCGTAGTCTAAACAATTAAAAAAAAAGTGAAAATTGTCAGACGGCAGGCATTAAGTCATAAATAAATTTGATTAATTAATAATTGACCTAAATTTGTCTAAAATTTCTAAAAATCATCGCAGTTTAACTTAGTTAAAAAATTAAGCGGCAGCGAGCAATGTCTTCATTATTACTCTCGAAGGCTTTTATTAATGGCAAGTGGGTGGATGCGGCCGATTGTGATATGTTTGACGTATGCAATCCTGCCAACGGTAAACTTATTGGCTGCGTACCGAACATGAAGATCGAAGATTGTCGCGATGCAATAGTTGCTGCTAAATGTGCATTCTTTTCCAAGGAATGGTCATGCTTGGTTGCAAAGCAACGTGCCGACTTGCTTAGGGTCTGTGAAAGTTTTAAGATCTTAAAAAGGGCGGTCATTGAAACGGTTTTTGTTTATACATTTCTTAAGTGCTGGGCCATTTTAATGAAACAGAATGTCGATGACATCGCTGATATTATCACAGCCGAGTCGGGAAAACCTATAACTGAGGCAAAGCATGAGATTTTACATGGAAGTTCGCTTTTGGAGTGGTTCGCAGAGGAAGCTCGCCGAGTGTTTGGTGAAATTATACCTTCTCCAAAGAAAGATAGCGAACTGTTAGTAATCAAACAACCTTTAGGTGTCGCAGGCTTGATTACACCTTGGAATTTTCCCTTAAGTACGATAACGCAAAATGCGGGCGCTGCATTAGCTGCTGGTAAAAATGCAAATCTCCCTTATTTTAAGTTCCTAATTAAACAAAAAAAGCTTGATGCTCTTAGGTTGTACTGTCGTCATCAAGCCAAGCTTATTTACTCCCTTGACTTGCTTGGCTGTGGCGAAATTGTCTGAAGAAGCTGGATTTCCTAGAGGAGTAATCAATGTTGTCACTTCGAATAATGCGCGCTGCATAGGAGAATACATGTGCAAGAGTCGAGATATTCAAATTATATCGTTTACTGGTTCCACAAATATTGGAAAACTTATTTATCGTCTATGTGCTGATGATCTGAAACGTGTTTCCCTCGAATTAGGCGGTAACGCACCCTTTATAATTTTCGATAGCGCCGATATAAAGAAGGCGACAGAAAGTGCATTACTTGCGAAATTCCGCAATTGCGGTCAAACGTGTATTGCAGCCAATCGTTTCTTCGTGCAAGACGGAATTTATGATCGATTTGTCGCTTGTTTTAAACAACAGGTAGAAGATTTGGTTATCGGCTTTGGTTGCGCTGAGGAAACTCAAATGGGTCCACTTATCAATGAAGATCAGTTTACTACGATATGTGAATTGGTTGAGGACGCGCGCAAAAAAAACGCCTGCATACTAACTGGCGGATGCGGTTTGCCCTGTTTAGGTAAACTGTTTTATGCCCCTACTATAATAACTAAAGTGCCACCGGAGGCAAGAATTTATTGTGAAGAGATATTCGGTCCAATTGCGCCAATTATCAAATTTAAAACCGAAGAAGAGGCTATTCGAAAAGCGAACGATACAAAAACCGGTTTGGCTGCTTATTTCTTTACTGAAAACCTCCAACAAGCGTTTCGAGTGGCTAAACGTTTAGAAGTGGGTGTAATAGGTCTGAACGAGGGCCTCATTTCAACAGCTGAAGCACCGTTCGGCGGTATCAAAGATTCGGGTGTTGGTAATGAAATTGGACGTATAAATGAGTATATCAACATTAAATACATTTGTTTAGGTAATCTTAAGTAATAATGGAAAATTATATTCGTTTTTAATTAACAAAAAAAAAAAAAAAAACTATATTATTTTAATTTTAATTTAAAGTTAAAATTAATAATAAAAAAAAAACAGCAAAACACTAAAAAGCCAGAGTTTATGCAGAGAATATATTCAATCGCTTTTAAATTACTTGAATTTGACGAGGCTTAATAATAGCGAGATAATGACGAAGAGAATGAATAATCTTCAAATTCCAGAGCATCGTCGTGCGAATTCTATCGTTGCTCCAATTTAGTAGCAAAGGGAAAAGGAACGCTTTTATCACTTTAATTAATTTCCAAGTTTGATAGATGATTTTGTTTCAGTTAAAAACCATGTAAGATCAAGTGTAGTATATATATCCTAAGCTATTTATGAACGAATCAAGTTAGAACATTTCAATTTAATCTGGATACATAACGAAAATGATACGAGTTCGTAGAAAGCTTGTTTTTCAATTCGAATTGTAATTTCAATAGGTTACATGATATGACATGAGCAAAGCGATTCTAGTGCTAGCGTCAGCCGATTACTTTTATGATAGATATAATAAATCCCCTAATCTAACCATCAAGATATCAACAATCGACAAAAGAAAGGTTCACATTTCCCTCTAAGCAATGCAATGCTGAGGATATATTTCTTCGTAGTGGTTTTTTTTATTTATTTTATGTTATTTTTAATATGAGTGCCCACTCTCTCTCTCTCTCTCTCGTTCTCTTTTTTTAATAACACTTGATAAAAAATACACTTTAGTGTAATAACTAATAATAAATCTAACCGATCTACATCCTCCCTATCTGGTCTATATGCATGTATAGAAATTTGCATAGCTCATTGCACTGCAAAGACTACGTCTACGCTAAAGTGGAAGTAAGGAAAATCAACTGAGGCATTAAAATAGAGAGAGAGAGAGAGAGAGAGAGAGAGAGATTGTGCGCGTATTTACTAGTCATGCATTTAATATATAAATCAATGAGCGGAGAATTTTACGAGTTGACAAACAAAATCGTACTACGAAATAATTCTAATTGGAGTCTATTAGTTTTAATGAAGATTTATCTAAACCGGTGTACTCTTTCATTTTATTTATTGTTAGCGTTTACGTTTATTAAATAAGAGCACCCCTTCTACTTGCGCAATCTTGAATTAATTAATTTGCTTAGAATCTCTTTTGGCAAATCAATAACGAGTTATCTACTTACGATAATACATTCGATTTAATAACTTACCCAAAATTTGTTAAAGTGAAAAATGTTGCGTACATCTTTTATAAGAGTCATCGTGAAGCATCATCAACATCAATTTAGTTCTGTTAAGAGTTTACAGCAAACAATGTCTTCGTTATTGCAATCGAAAGCCTACATTAATGGCAAATGGGTGAATGCGTCAGACGGGGGTGTATTTGATGTGAAAAACCCTGCCAATGGCAAGGTTATTGGGAATGTGCCCAACATGACTGTTGGAGATTGTCAAGAGGCTATAGATGCGGCTAAGCGTGCCTTTCATTCAAATGATTGGTCATCGCTAACGGCGAAACAACGCTCCGCTCTTCTTAAGGTTCATGGATTAGGAGAGTATTTTTTTTGACATTAACTAATGATTTCTTTTTACCTTTTAAAGACTTGGTTTCGATTAATTGAGCAAAACGGCCAGGAGATCGCCGAAATTATGACTGCCGAATCCGGTAAACCAATAAATGAATCAAAAGGCGAAGTATTATATGGCAATTCATTTCTGGAGTGGTTTGCGGAAGAAGCTCGCCGTATCTACGGGGAAATCGTTCCAGCGCCAGTAACAAATCGTGAGCTTCTCGTAATGAAACAACCCCTAGGAGTGGCCGCCTTAATTACGCCTTGGAATTTTCCTTTAGCGATGATAACTCGTAAAGCGGGTGCCGCTTTGGCAGCTGGTAAATATTAAATTTAAAAACCAAACGCTTTAGCTGTTGGTATTCATTTCATATTTCAGGTTGTACGGTTGTTATTAAGCCAGCAGAAGATACCCCCCTAACTTGTCTGGCTGTAGTTAAATTAGCCGAAGACGCTTGCATACCAAAAGGATTGATCAACGATAAATTGACAAAAAAGGCAGCTCCAATAGGGGAGTTATTGTGTAAAAGTCCCGACGTTGGCACCATATCCTTTACTGGCTCTACAGAAGTGGGAAAGTTATTGTACCGCCAATGCGCCGATACTGTTAAACGAGTTTCTCTTGAATTGGGCGGTAATGCACCATTTATCGTATTCGATTCCGCCAATTTGGAGAAGGCCGTAGATGGAGCCATGGCCTCAAAATTTCGAAATTGTGGACAAACTTGTGTATCAGCGAATCGTTTTTTTGTGCAAGAGGGAATTTATGATCGATTCATAAACGCACTGAAGCAAAGAATAGAGTCGTTGAAAATCGGTTCAGGCGAATTTGACGATACTCAAATAGGTCCTCTTGTCAATGAAATGCAATTTAACAAAATAACCGAATACGTAGAAGATGCTCGCACAAATAATGCTCATGTGTTAACTGGTGGCAAGCGTTTATCGGATTTAGGCGAACTCTTTTATGCTCCAACCGTTATCACAGATGTTGGACCAAACGCAAGAATTTATACAGAAGAGGTATTCGGTCCCATTGTATCCGTAATTAAATTCAAAACTGAAGAAGAAGCCTTGGAGAAAGCAAATCAAACACGACGAGGTCTAGCCGGTTACTTTTTCAGCGAAAACCTGCAACAAGTTTTTCGAGTAGCTAAACGTTTAGAAGTTGGTATGGTAGGTGTCAACGAAGGCTTAATATCAGCAGCTGAAGCGCCATTTGGCGGTGTCAAAGAATCTGGTATTGGTCGCGAAGGTTGCCATTACGGCATAGACGAGTACGTCGATGTGAAATATGTCTGCATGGGAAATTTAAATTACAATTAAAACCTAACAATTTACTAAGCAAAATCTAAATTTCTAGCTTTAGCTTAGAAAATTTAGTAATTATTTTTTGCATAGATCAAGTCTTCCATTGTTTTGTTACGTTGTTGCTAAGCTTACAATATAGATTCCATTAGAAATTAAACTAAAGGCCATAAATAAAATTGGTTTACTTACTTAACTCGCATTAGTATATGTAACGTTTATAATCAGACGTGATTTTACATTTCTCTTTTCGAAATAGATGTGAAATGCCAGGTAAAGTTCTGTGTATTGATAAATGAAATTTCCTTGCTTATTATTGCTTAAATGTCCGCGCACTTTCTGGTATTATGGTCTGAGAAGATAATCAGGAGGAAGGTAAGGTAAGAATCAAGTTCGCATCGATTCTTGCTCTTTGAGCGTTTAAGCTTTTTTCAATTATTCGATTAAATTTGAAATAAGTTCTGATTCAAATTAATTTAAATTGAAAATTGTGATCGCCACCGCTACTAGCAATTTTTCTTTTATATACGCAGCTCTTTAACGAATTCTGGAAATTTAAAGGGGAAGTAAACAAGCGAACTTCGAATTCTGGCAAATTAAAGGAGAAGTAAACAAGCGAACTTCGAATTCTGGCAAATTAAAGGGGAAGTAAACAAGCGAACTTTAACGGCTGAATGCCAAAGCGAAGACCAACTTTCAGCTGTAATTTTTCTACATAATTTCAAGAAAAAAATCAACTAAAAGATTTACATCATTGAGCTTTTATATATGTAATCATCTTTGTATGACATTTTTGTTTTGTTGGTTTGCTTACTGAATTGGCGGCTTTAAACTCTGACATTGAACGTAGATTGGAGGAGTTCCTTTTCGCTTTTTAAATACTTTGGATTTCACAATATTTGGAAAATGAACGTATCTTGTTAGTTTCATTGAAATAAATATGAAAATGTTTTAACTAAATTTCCTTCTTTAATAGTCGGCAGTGAATTCAATGCCACACAAACAACTGACGGCGCGGCGGCCGAAAAAAAGTCAGAAGGTATTGCACCTGTACTAATTAAACAACTCCTCAAATCTGCTGAAGGCAATTTCCAGATGTTTGGAATGAACTTTAGTATGGTTTGCATACGCGCGATAGTTCGTAATATTGAAACTTCATCGACCAAAATAACTTATTTACTAGAAGATAACACTGGCCAGATAACTGCTCATTACTGGCTAGAAGAGGGTGATACTTTAAAAGCACCCGACGTGATGCTTAATAAATACGCAACTGTTTATGGCAGTGTGAGGTCGCAAGCTGGTCAAAAGACCATAATGGTTTTCAAAATGCTTCCCATTAATGATCCAAACGAAATCGTTACACATCTTCTAGAGGTGCTTTGTGCCCGTTATAAAGCCGAGCAATACGCCTCAAGCTATAGCGGTCACAGTTTCGTTGGTGCTAGTAAAGCAACCACTGGCTTTGATATGCCGTCAAGCAGTGAATCAGGTTTGGACGGCAAAAAATTAGCAGTGCTTCAAGCAATTAAAACTCACCAGTCTCCTGATGGTATTAATCGTGATGAGTTGAAACGTAAATTTGGACAAATGAAAGAGTCTGAGCTCAAGTAAATTTCGATTTATTTCAATTATTTAACAACTTCGTTATAATATTTTCCATTTGCAGCTCGATTTTGGACTTTATGATTACCGAAGGTTTCATCTATTCGAGTATCGATGCTGACCATTTCCTGAGCACGGAGTAACGAGTGAAAGGGCCAAAAATTCAATTTCCAATCTCTTAGTATATAAAAACATATTGTAAAAATGTCCTTTTATACAAAAAAAATATAATTTCATGAAAATGTACAGCTGAACAGGGAAACAATTTCTGTTTAAGAATTGTTAAGAATTCTGGGAACATAAAAGAAAGAAGAAGAGTTTCGCAAAGCTAAAACGAATAAAAAGGGATTAAGTCAGTCCGGTGTCCCATACATATTCTATATCCATTCTGGAAGTCCCTTCATATATTCATACACCTGACGTATTACGAGCAAAGAGTTTTTGATGACTTTCTTTACATACAAGCCTCGTGTCTACCAGTTAAGGTGGAAATGCACATCAATAACGTTCATGGCGAACGTAGTAGGAAATGCGGCTCGCCCAAGAACCACTTTTAAGCCGAAAAAGTTGTTCAAGTCGCCTTTCCCCTTAGCGAAATTAAAAACATCTAAAGCCTGAAATCTTCTATGACATTTTATTTAGATCACTGCATTATCCAGCAAATAACGCATAATAACTGAATGCTTCAAGTTATTATTTGCAATAAATTCAATCGCAAAATTTATGTACTAAACTTTAGACTTAACAAACTATTGCAAATAGATTCGGCAGCAAGCAAACCTACAGCCAAATGCTTCTTAATGATGAGCGGCAGCTTCTTTAGCTTTCTGGTCGGCCCACGATTTCTTGTTTTCGGGCGAGTTTGCTACAGACAAAACGTGTATTGAGGTTAATTTTATTTCAAATACCTATCATGTCATCATCGTTTAATACAAACCCAATTTGCTAATTTTATAAAATATAGGGACGCATACTCCTAGAGCCACGAAATAATAACGCCAGATCCATTGATTTTTAATGTAATGTTTAATTGGAAATTGTGCGATCTTTGCCGAGAAAGTGTATGGAAACTTCATGGGATTACCCACTGGTTTTTCAGCTTTATCCGCCATATTTCACTTATTAAAGCCCGCTACACTTTTATACTTTAAAAGGATGAGAAATTTTCAAAGAAATTCCAGTAATTTAGATTAAGAAATTATGTAATCTAATAATTTTTTTACTCGCACACAATTTCCGAACAACACTCACCAGTCAAAAAATCTACAAATGTCAAGTAGTTTTTATTAAGATGGTACCGATGGCTTACAGCTGACGACGATAACAAAATATTTAAGTAATTATCGCCATTTGATAATTATTTTACATATAAATAGCATAAAACTATGTCTATTTTGCAATAATTGTTTAATAAGAATGCGATTGAATATAATTTATCGTTAATAGGAAACATTTTTACTTTGGGATAATAAAATGAAGGATTTTTTAAATTCCTTTAATAACTGTTTTCCCGTTATTGCTGTACCTTAAAGGTACTTATCTACTCTTTTGCGTTCTCGTAATTTTAAGCTTTCCTATAGAATAAAATTTATTAATATAAGTGAAAAGCACGCCAGACATTTATTAAAATTTCGCGCGTGAATTTTGCAAAATTTCACAAATATTTAAGGATTTGCATGTTAAATTCATAAATATTATCGTTTGCAACAATGTTAGTTAAGTAATGAGAATTGTTGGATAAGTAACTAAAGCAAAGAACGTTTATAAAAATATCATTTTTATATAGCTTACAAACAAAACAGCGCGATTATTTCGAGTCCAGATAATTTATTTATAGTGCATTTTTTTTGTACGAAGGAAAAATGCCAATTTGTACGCGGAATGGCTTTTATAATGCTGCTTCGAAAAATAAAAATGAAATGTTTCAAGACAATGAAGAAGTCTTCTTCTGTGAGGTTACTAAAGAGATCTTCAGAGATTACGAGTAAGTTGATAGATATTGCATATAAAAAAAAATTTATGTTTGTAGACAATTGCACGTAATTTTATAATTTTTTAATTATGCGAAGGGACTATTTTCGTCATGTTATGGCCATAAATTCAACCGTTTGGCAGTGTGAAGCTACCGGCAAGGACAATCTTACCTACGCGGAGGCGTTAAAGAGCGAAAGAAAAGCTCGTAAGAAATTGGAAATGTTTAAAGATTCTCTTCGGCCGCCGGCGATGCTCGTCATAGATAATGCTAAACAATCTTCATTAAAGCTTCTGAGCGCTTTAACATTTCGTTTCCTTCGAAGACGTTTCTTCATTAATGAAGAAGTACAATTAAGCCAGAAATCATCCACTCATTATACAATAATCGAAATACTCACGTCAGATGGTAGCAAAGGGTCGATTAATGAAACTTATGAAAACACCGAAAGCCTCCAATATAAATTACGTAGCTTGGGGAAAAAACCATCTGAAACCATTGTACCATATGATAAAGTACGTCGTCAGCGTTTTGAATTCACATTAGAAAATTTACAAATGTTCATTAAAAATAACGTAGTAAGGATTGATGGTATACTTCGGCCGGATCCGAATTCTTATAAAAAATATGTGACAGATCGTCGGATCTCATTTGAAAGTATATTTATTGGAAAAATGCCGTTTTTTACACCGGCTAAAGCACGCAAGCCTAACGAGATTATTGATGGGAAAAAACAACCAACTCTTAACAAATATTTATTAAAAAATGGAGAAGCAGAGAACGAAAGGAGCAATAAACCGAAATCATTGAAAGAAGAAATGGAACGTGTGCGACGTGAGAAGCAGCAACAGTTATTGGAGCAAGAACGCTTAAAAGCCGAAAAACGAGCGAAACTTCTCGAAAGAATCGAGAATGAGTGCACCGCACTGCTGACAAAAACAGATGACTTAGAACGCACAGACCAACGCCGTTTGCCCTATTATGCACCCGTCCAAACATATATTCCTGATAAATTCATAAGTGATGCATTCATGTTGCGTGAGTTTATGCATACTTATGTGGGCCTTCTATCAGGCATAGAAGTATTCCGAGGCAATCTGAGCTTCTGTGAAATGACACGCGCTTTAACGACGCGCGAGATAGCCGGCCCGCTCTCAGATATTTTATTAATTTTTCTGGGAACAATTTTCGATCTACAGCGAGAAGAAGAGGAAGAATGTGCAGTCGATTATTCCAGCGTCAAACAAATGCAAGAGCCTCAATGCACAATGGCTTTGGCAGCAAAGGCTCATCACTATGCTAAGCGTCATTTCGCTTTCAAATTAAATGAACTGCCACTAGATGCATTAACGTTAAGCGAGGTATTGCGTTTGCATTTTCTCTCTTCGGGAGCTATAGTTAAAAATAAAAGGGCCGAAAAATGGCGAATTATGTATCGTAATGGTTATTGCTCATCGGAGGATCCTGGTCTTGCTCTTCGCATGAAGCATCCTTACATATTGAAAGCCCTTAAAATGTATACTGTCTACCAATTGCCCATTCGAGACATTTTGCGGATTCTGCGTTGTTTGATGGATCAAATTCTCACCTACTCGGGTCCCATTAATGTAATCGAAGAACGCATGGAACAAACAATATCTGCTCGTCAAGAATTACGAAATTTGCAGATATTGGAAAATCAACGATTGACTAAAGTTCAAGCCATGAAAAAGAGTATGACAAATGAATGCTATCAGCAGCTAATGGAAGACGATGTAAAAAACGATGAAGAAAAACGTAAGCTCTTGCAAGAAAAGCTTGATAAGAAATTAACTGAACTTTTAACTCAATCTGACCGCCAGCATAAGAAGTATGAGCAACAAGTTGCTAAACTCAATGAGTCAATTTTTAATCATCTCGTTTATCTGGGAATGGATCGTGCCTATCGCAAATATTATGTCTTGGAATCTATGCCTGGAATTTTTATCGAGCATGCCGGTGATTGCATGGATAATTGTTTATTGAATCCTCCTAAAAATCGGCCATTACATCCTGAACTGACAGCACATAATAGCAATCTACCTAAAACTCGCCAAGGCTTAAGAGCCTACTTATTACGAATGTACAATGAAGAGGAAAAAAAAGCAAACATTGTCGGAACAATTGACAGCAAAACGAAGAATAATGCTTCGTTGGATGTTGCCCAAGAAAATAAAGAGAACGAACTAAACGGTCAAGTCAATGGGCTAGGGCTAGTAAATGGTCATCACGATAGTATAAATAAAACTGATCCGGACGATGCACCACTGCCGCCACCTACGCAATATCAACTATACATGTGCACGGGAGATCCTCGTAACTGCATTGTCCATAATGATTTAGATATGAATCGGCGACGGTGGTCGTATTTATATAAAAGTGACGATTTTGAGTCTTTATTCGATTCCCTTAATCCATTGGGGACCAGGGAATGCGAGTTGCGTGAACAATTGGCAACTTACAAGAGTTTGTTGCTGGAGCACATGAAACAGTGCCCAAATGATTTTTTGACTATCGAAGCTAAACATATAAATCGTTTTAAAAACATTATGACGACGGAGACGAGTCGCAAGTACAGTAATTCAAACTTTAATTTTCCCGTTCATAATTCTGATCTTAATGAAGTTATGTATAGTGCTCTTGTGGAGCGTATATTGCAATTTGAGAGCGAAATTTACACTGGTGATCTCGGTAGGCTTAAGGTGAAAGATATGGAAAAATGGCGAACGGATTTAATTAATGGCCAGTACGATGCCCAAGCGAAATTGCAATGGGGTCCGCCAAAATATGGACATTTGGCAGTTAATGGAGTCGAGAGCGAACATAAACTCGAAAGCGGCGAAAAAGAGGAAGATTCCGAAAATGACGCTGATGATGACGGACAGGATGATGGTATCGTAAAATATGCCGGAAAAGCGTATCACGACCCAGGTGAAACATTGGGTGATACTGAAGAAATTGAGTCCGAGGATAGTGCCGACGATGATATATCTCTTCATGATTCGGAATCGTTGCGTTCGCATGTTAAGCAATTGGCTTCGGGCTTATTACAGGTCGAACAGGCTATTGAGCGGCGTTTTCTAAAGGAACCTTTTGGTGCAGCTATTCTAAAGGACAAGGACTTGCAAGAACGTAAACAACAGACAGCGAGCAATCGTTTACGGCAATGGGAAGTGTCATTGATGGAGAGCACTAGTTACTCACAAGTATAACTGGCATAGAATCTTCTTAACTGCGATTTTCAAATTTATTCCATATATAGGTCTTTCTCCATTTAACGGTTTTAAATGACTGCATCATATGGGCGAGATCTACCAATAAATCAAACTGTATGGTTTGTAGGCGGGGAAGTGATCCAGAAAAAATGCTACTCTGTGATGAATGTAATGGTGGAACTCACATGTTTTGCATGAAACCAAAAATGAAAACAGTTCCAGAGGGCAATTGGTACTGTAAACGTTGCGTTGCTCGATTGGGTCTTGAGAATGAAAACGACAAAAAGCAAAAGAGACCAGATAAACGACGAAAACGTACCTTTTTGGTGGATGATGACGCAAGCGATACTTCGTCTATCACCTCGGACACGAAAATGACGAAAAAGGTTCCGGGCAGCGGCAGTAGCAACGCCAGTGGGAGTGGAGAACGAAGAAATAAACGCTTACGATCACAAGACATTGAAGCAATCATTGAACAAGAGGAAGACGATGAGGACGAAGAAGGAGGAGGAATAGATAACGATCAGATGTCAGACGAAGTGAAAATAGTCGGTATGATGGAGGAAGAAGACGCTGATATCGAAATTCAAGAAGGAAAAGGAAATGTGATATCCGAAGAAAGTTCAAATGTAGATGAGTATGTCCGCAAATAATAACTAAGTTGTTCAAGTTATTTTTAATTTTTAACATTTGCTTCTTTCTTAATTAAAGAGATGAAAGCGTTTGTAACGTTTGCTCTTATGACGGCAGTGACTTATCATGTTCACAATGTAAAAATTCTTACCATTTGGAATGCATTAATTTAAAACGTCAACCGCGATACAATTTTATCTGCAAGAAATGTAAACCCGGCACAGAAGGGTCGCGTAAGAGGAAACTCAGAGCAAATGGTAATGATTTAGTTTCCAAAACGAATGTAATTTATTTACTTATTTGAAGTGATTTCAGACTCTTCTTCCGAAAGTGAAAATGATGAATACGAAGAGGACGAAACGCCGCTAAGTAAACGAAAACGTTCCGAGAGGCAGCGTTATACTCATACAACTGCAACGACGTCAATCGTTCAAGAGAGTGGGAAAAGTGGACGGCGCTCATTCCGGCGAACCGGAGAAAATTTGCCCTTAAACAGTTCGGCTTTGTATGAACTTTTGAAGAAAGTTATGAAGGATGAAAACGCTTGGCCTTTCCTAAGACCGGTGTCACAGGCGGAAGTACCCGATTATTACGATATAATTAAGAACCCTATGGATTTCGCTAAAGTGAAATCTAAATTAAATATGGGCTCATATCAAATTAACGAAGAAGTCTTAAAGGATATTGAACTCATATTTAATAACTGTGATGAGTACAACGTGAAGGGCAACGAAATCTATCAGTAAGTTTTCATATAGATTCAAAACTCTTGCCCGTGAATTAGAATTGTATATTATATCATTTATAGGGCCGGAGCCGCTTTGGAAAAACATGTAATGAAGCTTTGTTCACAACTGAATTTGCCTTTTAGGCCAAGTGATATGAATTCAGATGATTAGACTTGTAATTATAGCAGACAACTACGTTATTATTAACTAACTGTTACCCATTCTTTGTGTCTTGTTTTAATTATTAGTTCTCTCATAAGCACACGTCGCTGTCATGATATTTCTTACTCAAAACTCATCGTAACTTCTTAAAGCAAATTAAATAACTAATTTTATTCTACTTGAAAATGTTGAGACTTGTAGAGAGTTTTTCCAAATTTTCCCCTCTTACAAGGTAAAAGCTTTCAAAAACATAACTATCAACTATTGACCACGTAATACTGTCCTTCATTCTTTTGATTTCATTTTTGTAAGTTTTGAGTTGGGAGATCATGTTTGTGTGACGTGAACATCTTTTGCGAGTAAGTTTAGATTTTTTTTTTTTTTTAACACTATAATTAAAATAACTAAATCTTAAGTCTAGACATTTAAATAATGATAAACTCAATTACTACCTAAACAAGACCCTACACATAATTACATATTTACTTCTTTTCACAACCGAAAAAAAAAAAAATATATATTTAATAAAAGTTATGTTTTGATGAGTATTTATATTATTTAAAAAAGTCGATCAATCAATATCAAATCAATATTTATGAAAGTGATTACTTTTAAATTTGAAAATTGAAATATTGAAAATAAATAATGAGCAAGGAGCGAATTTACGTTGACGCAATTCCGTCAAAATTCAATTATTGAAACTATATAAGAATATTGATTACTAAAGGGAGTAGGATTTCGTTATCCTGCTTTTAATACCTACAGACCTTTCATTAATGCGACATTTTACACCGAGTCATGTCCATATTAATTCAATTACACAACTCAATCATTTTGATCAGCAGAATAAATATTTACGTAGTCATCGAGAACTTGCGAATCTAGCCACGATTTCTCTTTTATATATGTGTATTCCCTCTTACCTGGATTGAGGCGTTTTCAAGACGAATATCACTGTTCACTATAATATTGTAATCAGCCATCGCGAGCATCTATATTACAACAACGCAAATAACTGAAATTAAAATATGACTTGAGATTAATAAATTTCTGCAATTACTTTCTAGCATATTTTAAAAATTCCTCTTAACAATTTCTATCTAGTTTTTGATCTACATATGAAGAAACAAACATACCTTATATATAGACTAAGACGAAACTTTTTTGACTGGAACAAATTTTCAAGAACCCTTGTCGCCTAGCTGTAATTTTACTTTGTGTCAAAATCTTGAAAGCGTTTTCTGTTTTTATTCCTCATCTCTTAAAATTCCTCATTTCTTACGATCCCGTAAATATAGGATTGAAAATGTCATTATATGGTAGATTGTAATTGCAAGTTTCAAATCACAGACGCATGTCTACCTAGCGCTAAACTATCCAGCGTAAGTAGTCGAGAGCTTAATTAACATATGAAAGTAGGTAATTAGGTGGGTGAAAGGTCTTAGCTCCCTTAAAAATATCCACTTTGATGGGAATGGAAATTACACAGGATGCTCTAAATGGTGAGACATATCGATAAGCTCAAAACGTTGGCATACAATCGTGGCGATATGCTTAGCTTAAACAGACAATATATATATATATATATATGTATATATATTTTTCTCTTTAGTTCGTTTAGATTAATGTCAGGCTAAGGTCTGTTAATGTCTGTTTCACTACAATTTCAATGCTAAATGCATCGAATTCAGCAAACATTACTTCAAGGTTTCGGTCCTTACCATTTGATACTAATTTTTCTTTTTTTCCCCATTCGACCCAATTATTATTAGTTTTTTTTCTTAAATTATAATACAAATTATTGTAAGAAAATATGTCTCAGCGAATTGGTAAACTATGGTAAAAACTTGTCTTCGCTGAAATTCCTTATCATTATTTTTCTCCTACGTAGCGTTCATCTGTTTATTAATCAAGCACTAACTTGTTCTTTGCATTCCTTAATATATATATATTTTTTTTTCGCAATTTAGTCCTCTTCTTAAAAAGTCTTCTCTCTTCTACAATTTTTCACTTGTATAATGAAATATGTTTTTATGTTAATCACACAACTAACTAAGGAGTAGAGAGAAGTTTTTTTTTTTTTTTTTTTGTTTTTTTTTTTTTTCAAAAAATGCATTATATTTGTATTTTATTAAATTTCTGTTTCTCACACAGCTTCCTTTCGTTTTCTTCCTTTTGTTTTTATTTTATTTAATATATGCAAGTTAGAGCATGTATTTCAATGTTCGAGTAGCTGCTCAGATTTTTGAAAATGAGTAAAATTCACGATAAATATGTGAATTTTTTTTTTTTGTTTTTTTCTTTTTTATATTTTTATATTTTAATCATTTGTTGTTAGTCTTTTAAGTGTGGGTAATACGTTTTTTTTTTTTTTTTTTTTTTTATTTATTAATTTCAATCGCTCTCAGAATCATCGCCGGCAAACTGTTTGGCATAGTTGCGTCTTATACGTGACACTTTTTGCTGAAACGCGTTAACTCTGGTAGTGTTTTGGCTATTACTGTTGCCGTTATTGTTAGTACGATTAACTACTACACCTTCATCATCGTAATTAGTTCCCGATTTATCATTACTGTCAAAGTCGTTCACTTGTAGGCAAGGTGATAGTCGTGTTGACGCCCTAGAAGTTGAGGCCATGGTATCGTTATGATAATTACTCAGAAACAGTCCGCTTGTAATGGGCGTGTTTGAGTTATTCAAACTAATACCGCTATCCGGTGTGAATAATGCATTATTCGGCAAGCTATTGGTTGTGCCGTTTGTTGTTGTAGTTAGTCCACGACTGTTAGTTAAGCCAGTTCGCGGTGGTGTCTGTTGCCCGTTAAATTGCGAGCTATGATCATTCACAAATATATCGTTATTGTTTTGCTCATTATTGTTTTCTTCTAAGGCGGCTCCATAATTATCATTTTCGTCGCTATTAGGTCCGTTCTCGTAGTGCTGTCGTTTATTGATATAATCCGCTATAGATAGCTGACGACGTTTACCGGGCTTTGTCAATGATAATGATAATGAGGTTGTGGGTTTAGATGAATCTTTTTCACGCTTATTACAATTGTTAGTTGTTGTGTCGCTAGACGTTGAAGACGCCTGCTCTGTTGTGTGATTATAAAAATCACTTGGATAGCTACTGTTCGAGAGTCTTGAATTGGAAGAATAATTATCCGGAAATTCATTTGCATTTGCACTTGCATTGGTTCGTCGTCTTTTCTTCGGAATTCTGTTACCGCAATTACTCGCTATTCTTTCAGCTGTCTCGTGATGACGACGATTGCTGTTGTTGTTGTTACTGTTACTGTTGTTGTTGTTATTGTTGTTATTACTACTACTACTACTGTTATGTGACTGTTGAATGTTGTGTTGATCACTATGTGGAGTTGTAGGATTTGTTTGTTGAGGTAGCATTGTTGTTGCTGTTGTTGTTGTTGTTGTTGTTGTTGTGTTGATATTTAAGTGATGTGTTGAATCGATATTTAATGCTGCTGAATGTTTTGGACCCTGATAGGTTCTCAAAGATCGATGTGCCGCTGTTGTCGTTGTAACATTCGAGGAGCCGCGTTGCAAACCATTCAGCTTCTTTGTGGGATGTGGTAAACGATCGCTACGTGATTCACTTGTGGAAGCTGTCGTCTCATCATCATCATCGTCGTCCTCATCGGACTCAAATATAAGCTGCTGTTGACGACGTAAGCGTAAAATATCATCTAGGAAAGACAGGAGCACAATAGGTTTTTTTTGTTTTTTTTTTGTTAATTATTTGCAAAAGTCTTCTCACTCCCGTGAAAATAAATGATACCTGCTCCTATTGCTGTCCAAATAATATCACAAAACGTTTAACGAAACACTTCAATGCTTCAAAAGAAGATGAAAATACCTCCAGTCGAAGGGAGGGAAAAAAATAACATTTCCTTACACATGAACGCTATCATGCAACACATTGATCCCTACAACAATGACGAATGGAGCTATCCTGCTAAACAATTTGAATATTTTTTCTGCATTCTACAGGACTCATTAATTTACAAGTAATTCCAACTGCGTCAAGTATTCATTTTATCGGAATGGTGAAAGAAAATCAAAGTCCCTCTCGATAGCCCAAGTGTTAATGACTGACGAAAGTCGTACGTATGTAGCAAATAGTAACCGCCGTAAGCAAGTCAACACACATGGTCTAAGACCACTCTGCAGCTATTATCACATCGTAATATATCAAAACATATAATAACTGTTTGTTATATAATAGAAGGGGGTTATGGACCTGTGTAGTCCAAACTTAAAACAGTGCAAGTATATATGAAATTCGTATTGTGCACCAATCTTCGTTATAAAATATTAAAAATTAGACTTTGGGATTATTTTTGATAAGAACATTTTAGGGATTTTAGGGCTTTAGGGGTTATTTGTAATAAGACCGTTCATATGAGAGAGCGTACGATTGATTCAAATCTACTACATATAATAAGGCGTGGCGGACATATTAGACATAATGCAAGGGTAATTCTCTTCTTTACCCACCCTAAGCTTAAGCGGTTCCGCATATACTAAATATCTCAAATTTTGATATGGCATCTTGAAGAGCTATCCATCCTATCGTTTCGACTATCATTATTTTTTTTTTTTTTGACACATACGCGCCCGCATAAGTTAATTATTAATTATAAAAACTATAAACCATATGTCTGATGTTTCTACATATATATATATATATATATATATATAAAGCGATCGATAAATTCATGAGAAATTTCAATGGTTGTCAATGGAAAAGTTGTTAGATTAGGTTTGCATAAAAGCTTTTTGTAAACAAATGCGATAATGAAAACATCGCAGCCCCCTCTACCACGACGAACTTATACAGACGATGTCATAATTTTGAAGGCAACACAATAAATATGTCATCCACTTGGATATGACAGCAAAGCGCAGTTACTTGTAATACACAAAACGCCATATAAGCCATTGCCATCGAAACAGTATTCAATTGAATTTCAAATATAAGAGAGAATTGCTGCCTATGATGATGAGAAAAACGATTTTAATTAACGCATTCGTCACAACCCTGCTGAGTGCAGTGCCCCAAAAAAATACCTATTCCATCATCAATTCTATCAATTCGGGAGGTTTCAATCAGCCATCGTTTAATTTTATAGAAAAGCGTTTAAGAAACGAGTTACATGGAATTTCAAGCTTAAAACTTACTATAAACATTAATTGTTATAAGGATATTGAGGAAAACTCCTATGTTCAATGGTTTCTTTATAACGCCCAGATACCCATCGTAATCAATACATTTGCGGAATCGGTCGAAAGCTTCAAGAAAGGTAAAATTCATTTTGAAAGTATTCGCGAACATCATATCGTCGTAACGGAAATGAGATACGTGTCCAAAATAATTCATCGTTTAGTTCGATCAAATGGAGTTTACTTTTTCATATTTTATGAAAGAAGCTTAAATTTTACAAAGTTACACGAGCTTCAGCAAATGATGTGGATCTAGTATCGAGTATTTAAGAATTTCCTACTCACAGGCAACGGTGTCTTTATATACGATCCGTTTGCTTTGAATCCAGATAAGAGCTATGGGAAGGTTGTTCGCTATGCTGGTGACCACACTACAGATCATCTTATATTTCGCGATATGCGCCGTTACCCGTTAAGAGTGCAAATATTCAAGTCTACCTATTCACGACCACAAATAGACGCTGTCACGAAAAAGGTTCGTTACATATACGGAGTTGATGGTCGAGTCGCTGATTTACTCCAAGAATGTATGAACTTTACAATGGAACTTCAAGAGCCAAATGAATTTTATTTTGGGTAAGTAAGGGATCGCATGAATGTTTGGTGGAATTATCGCAATAATGTACATATCGCTTAATTAATTAATTATTCAATTAAAATTTATAGAGAAAAAGACGCTAACGGTTCCTATAATGGTGTAATTGGCTCCATCATTCGAAACGAACTGGATGTGTGTTTGACAGCTTTCTTCGTTAAGGATTATATGGTCGATGAAATGGAATTTTCCGTTTCCGTATACGATGATAAATTATGCATATGTACTCCGAAAGCTAAGCGTATACCGGACTCGATTTTACCTCTTCTATCGATACGTTCCGATTTGTGGTTAGCGTTCATAATAAGCGGTTTTTTTTGTTCAACTATTTGGACTTCTATACGTATAATAAACTTGAAAATGACGATACCGTTAACAGGAGGAAGTGCTGATAAAAAAAAAAAAAATTTATTTAGGGAAAAGTATTTGGCAACAATACGGTCGCATATTCAACGATACTTGGGTAGCATTGGTAAGAGTTAATATTGTCCGTTATCCGCCATTTGCAAATGAATGCATATTAATTGCTTCTTTGTGCTTGGTAAGTGTGGTATTTGGCGCTGTATTTGAATCGAGCTTAGCCACGGCCTATATTCGCCACTTATACTATAAAGACATTCAGACTTTACAGGAATTGGATAATAGCGGCCTAGTGCTTATGTATAAATACACCTCGATGGTCGATAATTTATTTGACGAAGAGACTTTGCTCTTTTCAAATTTAAAAAGAAAATTGCGAAAAGCGGATATAAAAGCTAATCTACTTAACGATATTGCTTTCAAACGGGGAACAGCAGCGGTTTCACGTCGTTCAAATTTAATGTTACACTCGTATCATTATATTGTGAACAAGCAAATATGGATGGTACCGCAAATTCCCAGGTCCTATACACTATCCTATGTATGGCCAAAAAATGCACCATGGCGGGGGAGAATCAATCAATTACTTCTAAGATTTCAAGCAACCGGTCTATTGCCCAAATTCATCAGAGATATGCAAACTGATACAAATATTCGTGACATGATGATATATAAGAACGAGGAACAACAACACCCTACGGCGTTAACTATTACGGATCTGCAATTAGCGTTTTATGTGATATTCTTTGGATCTATGATGGCCGGGGTGACTTTAATAGCGGAACAGTTTTGTTTTAGTCTTACCTCTTAAACTAGTGGTTATGCCAGTACTTGTGCTAGGTACTACAGCTTGCGTATTATTGGATAACGCTCGTAGCGTGTTTGTGGTGGCAGAATTTTCTTCTGATGACACAGTAGAATCTAAAACAAGCCCACTTTTAATATACGTTATGCGTTACGCGTGCGGATTATTTGGCAGCTGCCACTTACCAATATATTTTTGGACTTTAGTTTTTCTCTTTTGGTTTTTCTTTTTATGAGAAGAAGAGGAAGCACTAATGGTTGCAGCCGCAGCTGATGATGTTGTTGGCTTATCATTGTTTTTCAGACGAAGCAAACCGTGACCGTGACCACGTTGCAATCTACGCGGTTGATTTGCCATATGATAGCGGTTATGAGACAAGGCCCCTCCCTCAAGAGCTAACAGTCTCAATGTTCGACTGCTTTTTGGTATTAAGTAACCGATGCGCTTTTTATGCTGCTGCTTTGGTTGTCGTATCTTAAATATGTGCTTCATATTTTCAAAATGACTACGTTTGATACGCTGCACCCTGCGACGTGTGATCAATCTGCGTCTAATAATCCGCTTACTGTTCGAGTTAGTACGTTGCGTAGTTGGTGTCGCTGCTGCTCCTCCTCCGGTTGCTACAACTGCTTTGACTTGATTGTTATCATTATTACCGTCATCGCCATCGCTGTCAGTGCTCGTACTACTACTATCGCTGCTGCTACTGCTAGAACTGCTACTATCTAAACTTAAATTAGATGAGCTGCCTGTTTCCGTTTCAATTGATGAGTCTGTGGAAATATTGGATTCCAGGCCATCGATCTCTTGACGAATTAATGAGTCAAAGAACGCCAGCATGCGGGGATCTTCGTTTGTATTGCGGCTACTGTAGTCATGTGACAACGAAGAGACAGTCATAACGTTTACAAAGAATGGAGAGAAAATTTCGCGAGGATTATCCGAGCAGGTAGCCTCCTCCAATAAACTACCCGACCAATTATGTTGTGAAAATGGACTCCAAATCTATTTTTGTTAAATTTTTTTTTTTTTTTTTGAAAGACATAAATAAAGTGTAATTAAAATTTAGATTTTGCTTAAAGCATCAACACCTTCACTTTTCGCAAATGCACGTCGTCGTTACAAATGTTAAATGAAAAAAGCAAATAATTGAGCAAAAAAAAGTTGGGAAACGATATTTGACTGACGTACTGCGACAAAGCGATCTTTTTCAAGAGCTCAAGCTCTCCGTACTGCGTCTATGCATAATTCGCTCATATCTCAAATCTAAGGATTGCATTAAATAATGGGAGGGGGAAGTTCTTACTGACACTTAAAGGGGATGCGCTCTAATAAAACGTAAGATATAAGAAATGGTTTCTTAGGTGCACACTTCGTCTTCTTATCTCTAACATTAGAGAAAAATTCGTGGCAATCTCACGAAAAGCGTATATTTCGAGAAAATGCCAAAAAAAAGGAAAAGATTTAGAAATAGATTTTGCTCTCCTAGACGCCTTTTGATGGGTTTGATGATGTTAGACGCTTGCGGAAATCAAGCAAAATATTCGAGACATGTGCTCATTCAGTAAATGGAATTCACACGATCCACGCGAATTTATGCATAGACGCGTTACATTTCATACTTTAACAATTTTCTCTACTCCTGACGAAGCCAGCAAGCATTTTTGACGATTGTAGCGCACTTGATTGACAATAGAACGATGACCGAACAAAACCATTTGAGCGGTCTCTACCCATTGATCGGTCTTCTCCACTAAAAATTAATACAAAGAGATATTGGTAAGCGTGTCGACTCGAATGAGATTTAGTAAAACTCACAGTCTATATCCGATAATCTCCATACATATAAATTAAAATCATCAGAGCCCGATAAAACCAGTTCGTCATCTTCGCCAGCGAAAGTGCAACTTTTCATTGTGCATGAGTTGTAATAATTTTTGTGATAGAAGGTACAAGTCGGATCCGATGAATGCAACCTATACAGTATTGGAGGCAAGCGGCGTCGTAGAGCCAGTATTAAATTGCCAGTACGATTAAAACGCACGCTCATGCAAGTGGGCGGGTCTTTAAAGTGACGATACCGCATGACAGCCCTAATAATTATTTATATAGTTAAAAAAACCAAAAAAACAAAAAAAAAATTCCAAAGAAAGAGAAAAAAAGCTTACTGGTTAGGTTTGCGTATGTCATATAAAGCGGCGCCATGTTTCGAGTTAGCTGTTATCAAGAGATTGCCGCCCGCAGGATGAAATTCTACAGCATGGAAAGATGAACGAAGGTCAGCTACTACGAAGGGATCTGTAGGATCGGCACGTTGATCGAACAGTAGAACTTTTCCATTTTCCGAGGCCGTGGCAAATATGCTGTCATTTTGTGGATCAATCGAAAGCCCGTACACGGGATTATCTTGTTTAAATACATTATCCAATTTCCCACTGAAAGCGAAAACCAAATTGAGAGTTTCTTTTCTTCTCTGTTCTTGTTATATACGCACGTTTCAAAATCATGTGAAATAACCAGATCGTCATTGCCGCCAGAAATTAGTTTATGATTTTGACTATCGAAACCCAAACAGAAAATGTTACTGGCGTGTTCGGTATCTAAGGCACGTGGCCTCCCTATACCGGCCAACGACCTTTCAATATTCCAGATCAGAACGCGTTTATCATCGCCGCCTAAAAACGAGACGCAGGAAATTATATTTTACCGTTTTAGCAACAACAATAAAAAATTTACTACCTGAGGCTAAGAATTGGCCACCATGCGAAAACTCGATAGCGTTCACGCAGCCATAATGGCCAATTAAATCCGTTTTATAGAGATTTTTCGCGACACGCAAACGTTCCCGATACAAATGGGAGGTGAAAGTGCGGGGCTGATTTTGAGATTTTATGTTATTTTCACGTTGCGATAACTGATGATATAAATTGGTACTGGTTGAGCTACTGTCCATTAAAAAAGACATTTTTCTCGCGCTTGAACCGATATTTATCATACCAATGCTCTGTAAAGTATGGCGGCTTTGCAATTTCTGAACGAATTGTTCACTTCTGCTATTTTATGTTCATTTTTTATATTTCATTATTTTTCTTCTAATTACCAGTTAATCTGGAAATAAATTTTGGATTTCAATTGGCGTTAAGTTAGGCTTAGGCTTGATTTCATTTCACTGAAATAAATTCTTTTAATCCTTATGTGATGAACGATGTTTTCTCTCTTTATCTCTTTGCCTACCCCTTAATTATTTTGCTTTAAAATTAATTATGTGCGATTGCAAGAGCTAACCTAACTTTAGCAAATTGGTCGAACTTAACCTCAACATTTAGCGATCGATCTTTCCAAAGTTCTACTGAAGCTTCGTGCCACATTTTAATTCTCTCTCAATGATTTGGACTCCGATTGCGAAAATTTTTCTGAAAGTTTTAAATATTATCTTTTAGTTTCCTAATGACGGATTTCTTTTATTGGGAAAAGGACGAGACTCGAAGAAATCGATATTGTTTAATATGGTTTGGAAAAGTCCATGGAAACAATTATCAGAAATAATTGTTGACACTTTCACGGTAACCGGAAAATGATGATGATGATGCTTTGTTTACGTAGTTGACCAAATCTTGTCCTTGAATTGTGAAATGGTTTGGGGAATTTTGAGACGCATAATGCAATGATTTTCACATTAAACATGTCATTATATTATTCTTCGCTATATATATATATATATATATAGATTTGCGACTCCATGTGCGACTAACTAACCAATGGAATATATGGAATATATGGTGTGTGGCTTAATTATAACAACCCTCACTGTATAACATATGTTTCGACTATTCAAGCAGTGTGTATATTTATGCATGTATATGTATGATAAAAAAAAAAACTTATATTATTAATCTATTTTTATTAAATGTGTACATTATTCACATACGAAACCTTTCACTAACGTCTTATTTTCACGAGAATATGCAACCTTTTGTTGATATTTGAAATTCTTGATAAAATTTCTTGATTAGTCTCTTATTCTTTTTCCTTTTGCTTTTTTTTTTTGATGAAAAAGCAAATGATAATCGTATTTAATCACATTCAATTGTATATATTTGTTATATATATATAAATTTCATTTTTATTTTTTGTTTTTTTGTTTTTTGACAGGAATCATACACTTACAGATCAGGGTTTCAATATAATCGCACAGTAGAAAAATTATAATGATGTGTGATATTAAGAAAGAGAAAAAACGCAAGCAATTTTCGCCTTTTGCTTGGCTAATGGAAAAAATATTGCAGTGTTAAAGGAGGCAAAGGCGAATGAGAAAAAGTACACAAATTTATCCCTACGTATTCATGCATATAGAAAACTACAACCGCTGGCTTCTTCTTTGATCACTGTTTATTTTATTGTAATTTTTCGCATTGATTTTATGATGCATTGATAGATACGTCGATCTTTCAACAGCAGCACTAAATTATTATCCAGTCGAGAATAAAATCTTTTATTAAAAATCTATCACTTTTCCAATATTTTACATATACACAGTATTCCTTATTTCTTTTTTTTTTTTTTTCTTTTTTATATGACTTTTCCGAAATACTAGTAATACACTCAACAATAACAAAAATACAAATAGAATACAGTGAAGCCTTCGACAACGTCGACATTTTACTATACGTATCGTTTTTAGCTAATTTCCTTGATGTTTGTTGTTGATATTCACGAATAATTCATTTTAAGAGATTTCCTATCTTCTGAGTGAGATTTTATGAATAAACCCCAAAATTATTGTAAAAATTTCTTCCTTACAAATACTTCACTCAGCAATGATGCATGGAATTGTTCGGAAATTTTTGGGAGTTAGTGAAATCGAGACTTTTCATTATTATCATCAAGCTATAGGCATTTGTACTCACATAGGTTCAACATTTTTTTTTTTTTTCTTTTGGTCCTAACACTTCTTCAATGGAAGGAAACTAGATTCAAAGTGTACTTATTTTTGTGCAATCCGGCGGCGGCTTTTATCCCCAAAGCTTAATGTGAAATGGGAAAAAAGGAAATTTGAAAAAATTTATATGATACGAGTGACGGGAGTCTGATTCTTGTTAAAGCCCATGGAAAATAACTTTTACTAAATTTCGCAAAAATTTTCAAACCAAATATTTTTCATTTCAAGCCGACTTTTTCTCCTTTTCTTTTCGTCAATATCGAGCGGATGGACTCGGTGACGACAAAGAGGATTAAAAGCAAAACGCGCCTCCGTCAAATTGACGGACGGAACGCGTTCTCTCTAAAAATTTTTCAAAGCGAACCGGATAGAATAGAATGCAGAAAGGTCTTTGAAAAAAATTGATTTTTACTCAATCTTGCGGATATCAGCATGTAATCGCAGGACTTGACTGTATGCGATTACATTAGAGTGGTACGTGATACTTGCAAACTGAAACCTTTTAAGCAAAGTGGTACAAATTTGTTTTGAAACCTTGTCGATAGAAGTTACAAAATTTGATTACAGCCTTACGTAAAAATTAGTGATAATATTGTCGAGGTTAACAAAAGCATTATTTCTTTTTCATGCAAAGGGATGTATAATTTTATTTCAACCTTGCATAGGGCAGGCAGGTATAAGGTATAGGAACTAAGCGAAAACTGGAAAGTGGTAATAAAACATTAAGTGTATCGATCTCTTGGAACCGTTATTTTCAATGTAACATTAATGCTTTATTTATTATCCACTTTGCCGGATAATAAATAAAAATCGTTAAAATGGACAAAAAGGTACAGACACTGGTCTAGACACTGCTAAGGAAAATAATGCACGCCCGCATGATGACCTAATCTATCTATCGTAAGATTACTCTTCCTTTCTCGCATAATTGCATTGTCCAAGCCATCCATACATGTTCATGAAATAAAAACGCGTTTTTTTTTTTCGCTGAAAAAATCGCTTTTTGCGAAATTTAAACGATTCGAAATATATGGAATCGACCGGTATTTGCGATGCGATCTTAATTATGACTTTCTTTTACGCACACACACACATACACAACGCAACGTTGTATGATTTTTGTTGTCATTGTTTAATATTTTCGATTAATTTTGAAAACTTCATTCAAAATGTTAGATTAAAAACAGTTTTCTCATAAAAAGTGTGCGAAGAAAATTAAAAAAGTAAAAAAAAAAAACAAAACAAAGAGTTCAAAATTCTTGTTTAAAAAAATTTCTGCATTCAATGGACAATATTAAAATGCCCTATTGTAAGTAATGGACACATGAAGTCGTCATACATTGGCAAGAGTTTCATTTGATTTTTTCTTTACTTGCCTTATACACTTCGCATATATATATATATACATATATATAATGAAACTTCAAGTACCCGAAGAAACATTGCGTACACAACGTGTTGAAATCTATTTGCAAGATCTTAAAGAACGTTTAAAGCAACTTCGGCAAAAACATGATGAGGTAATTCAAAATTCCGTTGAAATTATTAGGGAAATCGAGGAGGTTTCGTCGTCGCTGTTGGTAACGCCGCAAGAGAGCGTCATCAATACCGAAGAGAATATGACGAAAATAAAAAAGCTGATACAAGAATTTGAAACTGCTAAGCAACAAGAAACAAGTTCGAAAACTAAATTGCCGGTGGTGCTTGAGAGTCGAGTCGATATACAGCAAATATTGCAAAGTTTTGAACAGCTCACCGAAAGTCGCGTGCTGAAGGAAAGTCTAGTGCTATTTGGTAAAGCGAAAGAATCATTTGAGAAAATTGATAATTTCTTTGGAAAATTAGGATGCTTAGATGGGTCCGTCAACAACGTCGCCGGCGCCGCTACCACCACAGCCACCATTCCAAGAAATAACGTTCGGGAAGCCCGGTTAAGCAAAACGACGAGCAATAATGTGCGCAGCAAAATCGAATTATTTAACCAAAGTCAGAGTTTATTGAAAACATGTAAAAGTTGCTCCACCGAAATTGATTTCAGTATATTATTAAATGACAGTCACCACGACAAGCCCGATGGAGTATGCTCGAATTATGCTTCATGCTGTAGCAGTTTGCTTAGTATACCAAAATGCTTATCCAAGGATAATATACTTAAACGACAGAGATCTTTGGAGAATGGCTACGAGGGCGACAACGACGACAGTGACTATAACCTATTGATCGCTAAAAAGAAAAAACTGGGCAGTAAATCAACGGAAATAAATAGGACAAGTGACTAAAAATTTGGGAAAAGTATAATAATGAAATCTTATAATAAAATCTTATATAATGTATTGGTTGATGATTTGTTCTCATATGCACAACACACAAATATAATTATGTATATATCTATGACATCATAAATTTTGCTTTATTGCTTAGTATTCTTTAGGAACAATGGAAAGTTTTTTTTTCTTTTTTATAAATATTTAAATTGCGTCCCTAAGACAAACCGAGTGTATATTTTTGCGTTTTATATATGTAAAACTTAACTAACTAAGTAACTAAGATCAAAAATCGTAGTTAACTTAAGTACATGCGCGCTGCTGATTTCACCTTAACAAGGGTCATTGTCATTATAAGCGGCTTTAAAACTCCCCGTGAAATTTATGAGAACAAATATGAGTAGGGAACCGACTAACGATCCCACTTGTACGACACAGCCAGTCCAAACTAATGATTTACCGCCTTGAGAATGCATTACAGTTGATATGCTCAGTTTAATGTAGCTCACTAAACCGATCAGTAGCGTCCATATAAATATCTATGAAAATCAAGGAGACATTAACAGTTTTTTAAGTTTTTCAAAAGTTTTCACACTGACGAAAATAGAGCTAGAAGACACTTAGACATTTAGAATACCTACCACCAGTATTTTTCCCATTTCACTATTAACCAGTGGAGGCTTTGGAGACATCGCGGCTGTAACAAGCACATAGATTGTCAAAAGGCTAGCTAAGCCAGTCAATGTACAGATTGAGCGCAACGAAGTACGTCCCAAAAATATGGCCAAAAAGCATGCGATCGGATTCGCTATAACACTAAACGGCTAAAAGATGTTATCTGTTTTTTCCCTTTGCAATCTTTATAAAAACATACCCTTTTGTTTAGAATGGATAGAGAGAGAGCACAGTGTCCCACGACCACGTTACAAAAATATCCCGCGAACATCATAAAAAATATTTATTTGTACATTTTTTATATTTTCCCATTTTTGATAATTAATTACTCATACTCACTAAGAGTTGCTGATAAATGATACGCTGCGCTTCCATACGGCAGACATGAGTAAGATTGTATGCTATTAAAGACACCGTTAGCAAAAAAACATATCGCCGCAATTAGGAGCAGCATAAAGACATATTGGTTGGAAGTTAATTTAGATTGACCTTCGGTCTCCGAATCATTATTACGGCTAGGAGTGGGTTTCGTGTCCGTGTCACAAACATAATTGTTGTCTTGTATTACCCCCACGTTGGCGTACTGTTCTTTAGCCAATTTAAGACGATCTAACAGAAAGAAGCCCCCACAACTGAGTACCATCATGGCAAATATAAAAATGAAGAACACTTTGGTATCGAAAAGGGGTGGAGGTGTATTCTTCTCATAAATTTTTTCTCCCTCGGAAGTGGTGTTGGTTAAAATACATTCGGTCGTACCGATACCTTGTATTAAAGCCACAACACTGGGTAATAAACCACTCAGACCTTCACCGACAAAATATGTGACCAAGTATATCTCCTTGAATCGTCCCATGTAAGGCATGAATAAGACGGAGCTACTGCACGCATTAATAGCGGTTAAGAATGTCAAAACAAACAGAGCTACACTGTGTTCCTGGCCAAAAACAATTGCCGTTTCACTATAAAAGAAAGCAGTGAGCAATGCCGATATTGTGCCCAGGGTTAACAATCCATATATTAAGATGGTATCCTTCGTCGCGCTATTTTTTTGCGCGAAAAGCGTATAAATTAAAGGACCCAAATTGCCAATTTGTACCATAACGCTTAAGTACGAAGGTAAACTCCATCCTTCTGGCGCTATTTCTACTAGCAGGGGCAATTGTATGAACGTTCCATTTATACCGACCCAAGTTCCAATGCCAAAAAATATTGCCAGCATGTCCACAACGAGACTACGCTCTTTTAGCATTTTATTAAGCCTTAGATTTAGGTTTAGCTTAGTGCGCATCTTGATACCGTTATTAAGCAAAGAGCTAACTTCAGACGATTCCGATGACCTGCCAAAAAAAAATACCATAAATATTTTCAACATATGAATGTAAAAACAAAAAAAAAAATATTTAAAAAAATAAAAAAAAAAGATTACTCGGAATAATATAGCAGACGTTTTATTGTTGCGTGCATTGATAGACAAGTATCAGTTAGCGAATCTCTTCTTTTAATAAAAACTTTCAATGCGCCAGCGACGACTCTGAGCATCTCATTAGAGCAGACAATTCGCAGATAAAGCAGATGTGTGTGTAAATAAATATGAGAGAACCGCCCGCCCTTCGGCTCGCACTTAAACTCTCAGCTTCCGAACGGCAGAAGATGTAAATTCATTGCTCCCTAATTCGCTGCAATATGCGTTTAATTGCTATTAAAGCATATCAATGACTGATTGAAATTTGCGTGTACGTGTACTTCGAGCGCTTATTAAAATACTTGAAAAATTTCCAGCCTTTTATTACGTTCAGATTTCTTGCAAAAATGGTTGGGTTAACCTCAACTCTCCTCATAAATTTCAGATCGACAGCTAATATAAATAACAAGTTATTAGCTATAATGAAAGCATAACTTCCTAGCAAATGGACAAAAATCTGCAGTCAAGACGAAAGCTTATCATCTCGCGTTTTCGTAAATGTGTGGAAGCGGTTAAATGAAAGCCGAACGTGGTTAAATCTCTGCCTTGATCGCATCGAGTCAGTAAAAATGTATTTTGTCCAGAAAATGTCATGAGTAGAGATGGATGGGAGTAAAAGTGGTGTTTGTGTACGTTGGACTTGGAAGTGGGAGCATCTGAAACGAAGATAAACAATGCAACGAAAATAACAGGTCAACTGAAGAACTAAAGATAAAGAGGTGAATTGTTCTAAAGGCGGGCAGAGCTGTACGGCGAGTGAATAAGAATTTTGAGAAAGCCGAGTAATTCTACTAAAGGACTGGATCGAATGACAGACGCCCTTTACTGCAGTATAAGTCGGCCAAGACAAACATCACCTGTGATAATGAATCCACCAAACAAAATTCTGGAAACTACTGTACTTAGGTTTCTTTGTAATTTACGACATTTTCCTCACACATGGCATATATATATTTTTGCATTTACTAAGTTTAACCTGAACATCATCCTATATTTACGGAATCGCAAAAAGACAGCATAAATTTCAGCTTTCAAATAACAGCAAACGATATTTTTCGGAATTTGTGCTCGAAATTATACACTAGACCATTATAATGAAGATTAAATTTATTTCCAAGTTGTTTGTGGATTATGGATTAATAAAATGAAAATTATTCCATTTTTACATGTCATTGATGTTCTTCTTCCAAGTGTTACAAACGAAACGACGACATTAGTACGCCGCTAACCTTCGACCATTTTTATAGAGTATACTACACATAACTCATTGAAAATGTCAAATAGTTTGTCTACGTATATTTAATTGTTTTGGGTACGTTTAGTTTTTCTAGGGCAACAACGGGTGTATTTATTAAAAAAATCAATGAGAACTTTGCAGTTAACTTTTCCAAGAGTGCCTATTCGATTTTGTGCACTTTACTAATGAAATAAAAAAAAAAAACTTTTTTATGATCGTTTAATGAGCAAAAAAAAAAAAAAAAACAAGAAGGAAAGGATTACGTAAATTTCCTCAATTTGCTACTTGCTCCTTTTTTGATATAGTAACTTCCTATTTCTTGTCTTTTGTTACCTTTTATTACAATTGTCAAACTTTAATGTGCACTTCGGTTGGCGGCCTCGACAAGATGACGTAAATAATTTAGGTTGCGTTGCGTTCTCTAGCAGACATGCCGGTTGCGTTGTGTTCTCTTGACTGCCATTTATACTATCAATTTGATCTTGATTAAAATTTTTATCATTTACACTCGTTTGTTTATCGCCTTTTATTGAACTCATTACATTGGCAGTTGTTAATTTCCTCAGGCAGTAGTTAGTGTTTTTATCGTAAATGCAAGCGTATTTGTAAAATAGGAGCGATAAGATTCTAATTGACCGTTATAGGTTTCAATGTGTTTTTCTAAAAACTGCTCGCCAGAGCTAAAAAGACCCTCGTAGAGTCTGGAGAGTCCGGTCAGCGAAAATTTATTGCGAAAAGATATACTTTCGATGTATAAAAAAAGAATACCCGAACTTTTGAATGCGATCAATGAATGCGTATTTAAGGTATAAGTTTAATTGAAACCAGGTTTAATTTGTCACCTGGCTCACCTGACAAATACGTGCCAACGAATCAGAAAAGTTAATTTCATTTTACATAAACACGCGCACATATGTATAAGTTGGTTGTAAATACAAATTATACAATAAAGTAGTTCTCAGATTTCCTTTTTCTTAACAATAATAACACAAGCCATGCACATTTAGTAAACATAAAATATTTTAAAATATTATACATGTTCATGTGATTATTTAACCGTTACACTTGCTCTTATTTTACATTTTTCAGCCGGCTTTTTTTTCGTACATACCTTCGCATATGCTATATCATGGATAATTATTTTTATTCATTTACATATATATGTTTTTTGCACTACGCTGTTCAGTTCGGCAGTGTTTTTAGCTGTTAACAAGGCAAAAAATTAATTTCATAAATAAATAACTTGTTCTTTTGCTTATTATTTTCTTTTGTAAACAAAAGCGAAATTACGATATAAAACCCATATGGTATTAACATCCTGTAATGAGCCGGAGCATTCTTATCAATAACCTGCGAAGATTGCAAAGGTAGCGGAACAAAATCGACAGCATAAAAAAAATAAAGCATTCAACACACTGAATGCGTTCGAATGCTGCATCATGCACTAAACATATATGTAAACGTTTATATGTAGTTAAAAATGTGACTTGCATTGTGTTGTTGTCATAAAAATCATATAAAACAAATATTTCCCATAATATACGATGCAAATCCGTCCGATCTATTTCGATCCGTGTTTCATTGAAATTCAATTAAAACTTTAATGAAACAGCGGGAAGCTATTATATATATCTCAATAACTTGGGTAAATTAATTGGGTAACATTGCGGAGTGCAAATTGTAATAAAATTTCCTTTCTTATGAATTACAAAAAAATTAAATTTTTATCGAAATTTGTATGGATGTTTGCACAACTAATTGTAAATTGTTAATATTTATTAGAAAAATTAACTATCTCTGAGACTTATTCTAACATCAGATAGATAGTTGTCATCTCTAGCATTAAGATAAGTTTATTTCGACGTGTAACCAAAAATTTGAAAAAAATCTTTAAAGTTTAATCGTCAATTGACGATATAAATATTTTAAATGAATCGAAATGAACCTGTTACTGTAGAACACAAATAATGAAACCTTAGAAAGAAAGGAATATTTTCAATTAACTATAGTTTCTTTACTAGCAACGGGAGACCTTTCTCCCTTGATAGCAAAAAAATTATTATATATGTTAAATTTTTTCATTTTTTTTTAATTAAATGCTTCAGAATAAACAATATATTAAATAACAATACTTTAACACTTGTTATATTTACCACTCACTTCTATTATTTTTTTCTTCTTTGTAACCACTAAGGCCAGCATATCACTTCAATGTGGGATTTTTTTGATGTAAGCAAAGTATTTTCCAAAGGAGATTTTATCTCTCCTGGCTGTAGAAGTTCGCCGTTTGTAATAGTCTTAGCAGGTCAATGGAAATTTTGTATTTTAAAGCAAATAGTGCTGCAGGTATTCTTACCCGTAATAAAGAAGTGCTAAAAAGCTTGGTGTAGGTTTGTAGCCGTTTTAAAGACTTTCAATAATGTTTATTCCCAAAACCGGATCTTAATTTCTATATGCACTTCTTGAAAGCGGTCCCTTGCCTATTATGCACAGATTTTTTCATACCAACGTTTACTGTCGCGACATCGCGGGTTAGTGCACATCGGACATCGCATTAAAAACTTTGGATTGACCGCCGATTGGTGATGCAGATGATCCAAAACTATCCTGCTTAATGCGTTTATAAAAAGCGGATGATCATTGGGAGCTGCAGCACGACGTATTTCTTCAACGCCGACCTTAATCATGAAAGTGTATTTAGGTGTTATGCAAATTCAAAGGCTCTTATACCCAAATTTCACAAACCTCCTTTGCTAACTCATCACAATATTCAATATCCAATTCATGTAAAGTTTCTATGTGCTCATTCACAAATGCAATCGGTACCAATATGAAATTTTTAAGACCTTGTTTCACGTAACCCTATCCAAAGGAACGTAGAATCAAGCAGACATTTTATCGGAAAATAAATTCTACCTTTATAGCGTCATCAGTCGCCGGTGCTAGCCAAGGCAAAGGCCCCACTTTCGACTGCCAAGCCAAACTGTAGGGATTAGAATTGCCGAGTTCCTGCATTACCATATGTACAGATGCTCCAATTTCAGAGGGATACGGATCGCCTCGGTTCACTGCTTTCAAAGGTAAGGAATGGGCCGTAAAAAGAATTACGACATGTTTACGCTTAGTTTCACAGAACTTATTTAATTCTTGACGAATACGATCGGCAAACGTCTTAATTAATAGTGGATGTGTACCCCAACGATCAATCACGCTCCACTTTATATTTTTTGGTAGTGTACTACTATAATACATAAATATCAGGATAAATTGCAATTTTAAATGCTAATCGCAAATAGATAACTGACTTGTTACGGTAATGAGTGTAAATCGAATTGAAACTGGATCCCGATGTAGCACAACTATATTGAGGATATTGTGAAAATAACACAACCCTTTCTGGAGACTCTCTAAAATGCATATAAATATTTGTACACGATTTCCGATTTTTGTACGAATCCAAATGTTCTTACTTTTCAATTTTTTGTAAAGTGTTTTCAGTCAATGGATCCACATAACGAAAACCTACATAATGCTTATGCGGCGCTGTTTCTGGCGATGAACTATCTAATTCTTTGCACATTAATTCTCCTTGCAATTTAGTCCATTTCAGTATAGGTGAACCGCCACCAATTTGTTGATATTTTTTTTGAACTTCCGGAGCTCGCCTCTGAGCAATCCAGGGACCTAAACGACTTTGAACCGGCAATTGTATCATGTCGCGATCAGTCATAATACGTAACAGGTAATCAGGCACTTGATCAGTGCTTTGTGGGCCGCCCATATTTAACATTAAAATCGCAGTCTTAACACCGTTTTGTTTCGATGTAGTTGTGCTAAATCTCGTCAAACTAATACCGGCTTTAGCAAAACCTGCAAGCAATATTTCTATTACCTATTACTTTTCAATAATTCCGTAATATACTAACCAAAAAATTGATTTCCTTTCAATGACAACATAATCAAACAAAATTAGATTCGATTCCAGGAATATTTTTCTAAAAAAAGAAGACTGAGCTCCTTTTATAAACTATTCATTAATGCATGTGAAAAAGTTCACAATAGAAAAAAAGTAAAAAGAAAACAGAAAACGAAAACATGGAAAATATATTAGCAAAGGCATTGCCACTGTTTTTGCCAGTTTAACAGCTTGAATGAGGAAATTTCTCATTGGTCGAAGCGTTGCAATTTATTGAAAGCATACTCTCCATACATGGTACTTTTTTATTGCCATATGTAAGGCAGTATATACATGACAGAATTTTATATTTATATTGGACTTTATATTATTTGCTTTAGTGCAAAATGTAGCAAATTAAAAAAAAAAACAAATGACTAAGAAGAATGAAAGAAACAGAAGAAAAGCAAAATCGTATAATTGGAATAATATTATAATTTGGAACTTATTGTGGTCGAAAATACCAGTTGCCGTTTTCCCGGATATTGAAAGCAATGAATTTTTTACCTTTACCTTCTATGAATGAAGGGAAATTTTACATTGACCTTTCTATTTTCATTTATCAACCGATATAGTAAGCCAGGCCGGCATGACTGTCTGCAGGTATATTATTTTCGGCCTGTTAATCGAATGAAAAAGGCGAATTCCACTTTGGCGAATCTTGTCTTATGATGTTTTCAAGCGGAAGATTTTTAACAAATCTTTATTAGACATAGAGTTCATGCGTATGAAAGCATCAGTAGAATATAAAAAATTATACTTTTACGATATGATCTTCACATTTGAGCTTGAATTTCAAATTTCGAATAAATTATTCCTGCATGCCGTTGAAATTGTCGAAAAGCAAGAAATAATGGAAAACTAAATTGACATTTATAAATGAACGGGTTAATTTTAAATAAATTTGTTATCCATGATTTCGTTCAGCAGAAATCAATTTGAATTGTAGCAATTCTTAGAAATTGTATTTAAATGCATTTATCAATTAATCAATTTATTTCATATCTTCCTTAATTGAAATCTATTGAAAGAGAGAGATTCAATTTAAAAAACACATCATCACCGCCAAAGGGTGTTGAAATTTTTCAATCAATTTTTCACGTTTAAGAAAGATTAGATGGCATATAAAAAGATGAAAGTAAATTGCACATTCTCTCTCTCTCTCTCTCTCTCTCTCTCTGCCCCCCTAGGACAAATATATGTGTATTCGGCAAACCAAAAATAATAAATATGTAACGTTTCGGGAATTCAACCTATGCTCGGATGTTCTTTTTTATTTTTACTTTTTTTTGTTCGCATGTTTTCCGGGCTGGCTCGTCGGATGGGGTGGGTCCAAATAAAATGTATTCAGATGCGTGATAGGTTCTTGCTTCGCTGCTATACGATATTTCACTGTTTTAAATAAAACATGCTTACTAAAAATTTTGAAACTTTTGACTAATATAAATCTATGCCCTAACCATACTACTTTTCGCTCGCCCCTCCATCATCCACAATTCACTGGACTTTGGAAAAAACTTTTTTTTTGTTCCTATCACTGCTCTTCTAGATTCGAACAAAAACTTTTTTCAGTGTCCTTGATCTTAAATTTGCTCTAATTGAAATCTCTTTTATCAGGTATGGAAATCGTTTAAATCGGATTTGCTTTCTTTTGCTAAAAAAGATACTCTAGTCTTTGTAATAGCCGAGTCTCCTCTCCTCTCTGCACTTCAAATAACACATGTTAACCCTTTTAGAGTCTGAAAAATATGGAGACAAACTAGTTTTAAATTAGACAGTAAAAGTTTATTTAAAAAAAAAAGTAAAAAATTGCATATACCCGGACAAACTTAATATACCCTTGTGTTACGAGTGGTGTAATGGTAGTACTATAGTATAATAACCGACGATGAACAAGGCTTCGCATGAAGCAAAAATATGGTCAAAATTAGGTCCATTTTAAGCACAGAACGATATTCTTAAAAAGATTTTTAACATATAGTTACTTCGGATAACTATTTACTATTTACGCTATTCGCGCCTGTGCTATCACTATACTGGAGTTCTTTGAATTTCGCTGGCATTTTTTGGTGAATTTGTATGATGGTGAAACCTTGCTTGAAAGACTTCGGCCAAAGCCTTTAGTGGAGAGAATTTCAAACCGCGAACGATTTTAATCCCGAACAGAACAGTAACAACAGTTTCACAACAATAATGCAATAATAATAATCCTTTGCACTCTTTTTTTTAGCATAACATAACTCTTGGCACCGTTGCTTAACATATCGCCTCTCTGCTCTCGCTTCTCCGGAACGACAAGTTGTTATTACTCGATACCAATCGCAAATATCGTATGTAAAAGATTATCGTATTTTATTTTTTTTTCAATAACTAATGATGGATTATATATTAGGTATAGAAAGCGGAGAAAATTCTCTTCAAAGCGAGTATAAAAGATTCTTCTTGGTTGAAAATAGGAAGCTATATATTAAACTTATATACTACCTTTGCAAACTCACCACTGCTGAATGAGAAGCGGGAGCAAAGGGAAGAGAAATTTAAGTAATGTGCAAACGCAATTTAACCAAAATAAAGATTTTGCAATGCCCGGCATTTTTATTCATTAATGAATCTAATAATCAATTGATCCGTGCACATATGTAGACATATGTTGCGCTTATTTATGAATATATTTAATGAAATATTAGCTTATAAATGTAAACATTACTGGCAATTACTCTTGGAAAGATATACACACTCCTGTATATAAGCATATACAAGTATACATGTATATATATATATATATATATATATATATATATATTATATTTAATGTAGGTTTGATTATGGCTATGGGTACGTACGTTCGATTTACAATTTATTTTATATTCTCCGCATGTTCTGAGATACAGATACTTAGTCAAGCGTACGATAAACAAGTACTTGTACGATTGTTGTCTGCTCAGCTATATACAGCAACTTTCGACTTTCCTACATCAACGAAGCCTCCCATGGCAAGTAGTTGCGTATCTGCCAACCAAGCGAACGGCTGTGCTCTTTAACCCGCTTTTATTTATTGCCTTAAACTAAAGTAGAAAAAATTGAAGTAAAAAAAAAAAGAAAAAAGAAAAAGCAGAAACTGTATCCCTCCTTACAATGGATATAAAATAAATCGTGATATAATTTAAAAAAAGTTTTCTTTTTAATGCTCGTTTTGGCACTTTAGGAGACTTTAGCATTTAATCAATGTCTAAAAGATAACTGTTATCTATATATATATATATATATATATATACATATCTATATACATATATATATATATATATAAATGTAAATATATTTATATATATATAAATGTAAAAACGGCCTAAAACATATATATTTTTTTTATATTATATATGCTATCTATTTAATGTTTAATAATGTCGCTTAAAATGTTCTCAAAAATTTTATGGTGGTGAACTAATACATTTATATATTAGTGTGTTGATGTACGTTTTATAACCACAATTGGAAATTGGTGAAGAGAGAAGCTATGAAGTGGAGAAATCCTTAGAGGCACTTAGGCACGCTGCTATCGGACTCTCTTTAAATTATATATGCCGAAGCATAAAATCTGATTCATACAGTTTGCGGCTCTAAATTGTTAATAGTTTTTTTGTTTTTTTGTTTTTTTTTTTGTAATTGAGAAAAGTATTAAATTCATAAAAATTGAATTATGGGCTACGATGATGTGCTTATACGTTTAGGCGATTTTGGCAAATATCAGAAAATTATTTATTTTCTTATCTGCTTAACGTCGATAATATGTGCTTTTCATAAATTGGCCGGTGTTTTCCTTTTGGCAAAGCCTGACTATCGCTGCTTGCTGCCATTCGAAGATCCGAATTCGAATGCAACTGAATACGAGTTAAAAGAAAATATCAAGCATTTAGCGTATCCTAAGGATACTTTAAGCGATAAATATGTAAGCTGTAGATATTACAACGTAGACTATTCGGAGGAGTATCTTAATCAAAGCGAACCATTTCTGGGAAATGGTAGCCGCCCGTGCGAACACTATGTCTACGATAAAAGCAAATACTTAAATAGTGCTGTTACGGAATGGAATATGGTCTGCGGACGAAGTTTTATGGCTGCTGCCAGCGATGCTTTGTTTATGTCGGGTGTATTAGTGGGCAGTATTGTTTTTGGTCAACTTTCCGATAAATATGGACGCAAGCCCATCTTTTTTACATCTTTAGTAATACAAATGACTTTTGGCATTTTAGCCGGCATCGCGCCAGAGTATTTTACATATACTGCTTCACGTTTTGTGGTAGGCGCTACGACATCTGGAGTATTTTTGGTGGCCTACGTAATTGCGATGGAAATGGTGGGTCCGAAGAAACGCCTCTATGCTGGCATTTTTGTTATGATGTTCTTCTCCTTCGGGTACATGCTCACCGCGGCCTTCGCTTATTTCGTTCACGACTGGCGTTGGTTGCAAATTTCTCTTACCCTTCCCAGTTTGTTTTTCATGTCGTACTATTGGATTATACCAGAATCCGCCCGTTGGTTACTTTCAAAGAATCGTCGCGAAGACGCCATGGCGAATATAAAAAAAGCGGCGCGTTTTAATAACATGGAAATATCCGATGAAGTTTTAAATCAATTGCTGGATGAAGGCACAGAAGTTAAGGAGAACAAAGACGAATCGCCATCTGCTAATCAACCTTCAGTATTTGATTTATTACGTTATCCTAATTTAAGACGTAAGACTCTGTTAATATTTTTTGACTGGTTTGTCAATAGTGGTACTTATTATGGTCTCTCTTGGAATACCAGTAAGCTGGGTAGCAATGTGTTATTAAACTTTGTCATATCCGGAGCAGTTGAGATACCGGCATATACATTTCTGTTGCTTACGCTAAATAGATGGGGTCGCCGTACAATACTTTGCGGTTGCATGTTAACGGCTGGTGTCGCTTTACTGCTAACCATTTTGGTACCCAAGGATATGAATTGGCTTATAATTGCATTAGCAATGATCGGTAAGCTATCGATAACGGCTTCCTATGGCACGGTGTATATCTTTTCGGCTGAACAATTCCCAACAGTTGTGCGTAACGTGGGATTGGGAGCATCATCAATGGTGGCACGTATTGGTGGAATATTGGCACCGTTTTTCAATATGCTCGCAGACATTTGGGTACCTTTACCCTTAATTATATTTGGCGCTATGGCATTTGTGGGCGGGTTGCTTTCACTACTGCTACCTGAAACGCACAACAGACCCACCTTGGAAACAATAGCGGATGGAGAACAATTCGGCAAAACTCCAAGAGCTAACGAGTATTTGGAAAATGGTAGAGAGTTAAAGAGCATTGACAATTATCATGAAACGCAACCACTTAATGCCGCTGCAAAAAATGCTCATGAGAATTCGAACGGTCAGGAGAAATATTAAGTTCTTAAGCATTTATCATAATAACGCTGCACTACTACAATGCATTATGTATTAATATGCAACAACAAACATACAAACTAAGTTTATTTAAAACTAATTTATGTAATAAAAAAAAAAAAAAAAAAAATGAAAAAAAAACGAGAAATATGCATAACAAAATAAAAAAAATAATAAAACTTTTTCACTGTCAACGAACTTACAAGCTCAGTAGGTACGCTTTTGATTATTAGTTTGGAATAATTGCAAGAAAGTTGAGAAAATTGCAATCTTTCGCGAAAACATCCAATCCGCGTTTAAACTAAATGTGTGTACGTATGTCATTTCTATCTATCTATATAAACAAAGACAAAACTATAAATATCAATAAGAAAATAAATAAACTTTTTTGTTATCATTTTGTCTTGGGTGAAATTGATTTGTGTTGTACTTGTAACCGTACGTGTGTATGAATAGAAGCTTCATTTTTTTTTCCGCAATAAACATCAATACAAGATTGTTTTTCTAATTGTTGCTAATAGGTACGGTGTAAAAGATAATTTTTACAATTTCATTCTGAAAGAGAAATCTTATCAAACATTTCCTGCATGAACTTTACAAGAATTTCGATGGCACTGTCGACCTTCAACACTCAACCCATGTTGAGAGGTAAATGGCAGTTAGTTGACAACGGACTTTTGCTACAGATAGGGCAATAAGACAATAAGAATAACCTAAGCCTATACTCTCTTTAGCCGGCCAAAGCCAGTTGTTTCATTACTTAATTTCTTCTTATTTCTGACGTCTCCCTGGGATCGTTACTCAAAAAGCAAGCTAGTTTTTTGGTTTAAAAAAGTTGGACGTGTAGCGATGACCTGTATGTTGATTAAAGCGAACGCATTAACGTTAAGCACGATCTGAGGGTTCTGAGTATTCTATATTATCTTAGCTGCAGGCCTCGGTCGAACAATATGGTTTCAAACAATAACTAGTTATTGGACTGCGTGGCTGCTTCAGTTGCTCAAAGTGAAAGGACATGAGGAACAACTTTAGTTAAGAGGGATTCTTCTACTTTCCCTGATATCTTCTTAAAGTCATCATATGGAGACATAAGCAGTATGTGTGCATGGTATTCTCTACCATATAGTTAATCTTCGAAATCTTTCTTTCGATAATGCTCGCTGTCGCTTAAGCCGGCAAGTCAGCAGTTGTGTTATAAGAATTGCTGCCGACGCAATGCTGCAAGTATGTAAACTTGTCTACAGCATCCCATTTCTTCCTCACTGCTTACTTACCGCTAACATCGCTTAGGATATCTTTGCATGGCAAAAATGGGTTAACAAACTTCAAGTATCACATCAGCTTCAAAGTGAGTTCTTCGAACGTAGATGCTTGCCATTGTCGCTTTGTAACTTCTAATCAAAAGAAAAAAGTTTCCTTTTTTTCTTCGCCCTTTTGCAACTACATTTACAGGTACTATCAAATTAAAGTAAATTGCTTAAGTCGTCCATTCATCATAGGCTTCTTCTAAGTTAAGAAAATATGAACTTCATTGCAACAACCAGATTACTCTTAGATGAAGAACATCAGGCTATGCAAATGTATATATAAATGCCTGGGTATGTGTATATAGGTATAAATAGGCCATAACTTTGCAAAAGTATGCACATTTTCGAAATGTTTATTTACATATATGTACATATGTATATGTTGTATAAATATCTTGAAGAGGAAGAGATTCGATAGAAAAGTACTTTTTTTTTTGTTTTCTTAGCCCTCTCGTATAACAGCAGAATAAAATAAATAAATATTTAGTGACTTGAGAGGGATATGTTTATTTATACATTGCATTGCCGTTCTCAAAAGTACACATACGATCGTTCGAAAATAAAGAGAGCAATGCAAAAAGAGCGAGAACAGAGAGAGAGAGAGTGAGAGAATATAAAAGGGAGCTAAAACTGAAAACGAACAGTTCGGAGCGTGAAAGTATTTAGTTTTGTAAGAGTTCGAATTGCAAAGAAATCAGTGGATCGCGGGATTTATAAATAATCGGCAGTGGTTTGGTAAAAGGTTATACAAAGTTGCCTTTTTATCAAAAATCTGCAACTATAAAAACAAATTCTGTTATAGCTTAGTAAACAGTTTTTTAAATTGCAACGGTTGTCATATAAGAGACAGTAGAGTAAACTTTTTTTTTTTTTGTAAGTAATAAAAAAAATTAATGAAGCTTTATCTCAAGTGCTCAAGTGCTTAAAGCAGTGTAACAAAAGTCTTCAAAATGTTTTACTATATTTGAAATACACAATCATATATATATATATATATATATAAGCACATAGGGGTCACGGCCACCAGCTGTTGCAGCCGGCTGCCCAACTCAGACCCAAAATTGTTTCGCGTGAATCCTAATGTTCTCTATTAACATCTGGCGCATGCCCGCATTATACTTATCTCGATTGTATTGTGTTTGCTTTGTCTATTCGGAGAAGTCCGCTGTTGCTGGTTGCAACAAGTTAAATATAAGAGACATTGCATTTAAACAAAGCCAAGACGAGTGTGCGTCTGCTCGTAAATGTTAAAAAAGGATAAGGCCACGTCACCATGGGTTACGATGAAGTTATTAAATATTTGGGTGATTTTGGTCGGTATCAAAGGCAAATTTACTTTTTACTCTGCTTACCAGCTATATCGTGTGCGTTTCACAAGTTAGCCGGAGTATTCTTGCTCGCGCGTCCGAATTTTCGTTGCATTCTACCGTTCGAAGATGTAAACGCGACATACGAAAGCTTTCCTCAGCAACAATGGAACCTAACATATCCTTATGATCCGTTGACGGGCAAATGGCAAATGTGCGAATATTACAATCGGGATTACACAGACGATTATCTAAATGGGTCGACAGTTAACGCTACAATCGATACTAAAGAATGCGAGAACTTTGCCTATGAACGGACTCGATACGAGAGTAGCGCTGTAACCGAATGGAATTTGGTATGTAGCCGCAGTCTGTTAAGCGCTACTAGTGATTCCCTATTTATGTTGGGCGTACTACTTGGCAGTATTGTGTTTGGTCAGCTCTCCGATAAATACGGACGTAAACCTATTTTCTTCGCCTCGTTGGTCATGCAAGAAGTGTTTGGCGTTTTAGCTGGAATAGCTCCTGAATATTTTACTTATACTGTTTCGCGAATGATTGTTGGCGCTACAACGTCTGGAGTATTTTTGGTGGCTTATGTTATTGCCATGGAAATGGTTGGCCAATCTTATCGTTTGTTTGCTGGCGTTGCTTGTCAAATGTTTTTTTTCCGTGGGCTTTATGCTCACCGCTGGATTTGCTTATTTTATACGCGATTGGCGATGGCTACAAATAGGCCTTACGTTACCAGGTCTCTTGTTTATGTGTTACCATTCCATTATACCGGAATCGGCCCGCTGGCTTTTATCAAAAGGCCGTAAAACCGAAGCGATTGCGGTAATCGACAAGGCAGCCGAAATTAACGATGTTAATATACCTCAAGTAGTTTACGACAATCTAATGGAAGAAACTAATGGAAGTGACGCAATGAAAGTGAGCAATGGCAGCAACGAAAGAACTCCATCCATTTTTGATCTTATGCACTATCCTAATTTGAGACGAAAAACATTATTAATATTTTTTGATTGGTTTGTTAACAGTGGCACGTACTATGGTCTCTCTTGGAATACTAACAATTTGGGCGGCAACGTGTTGCTGAACTTTGTGCTATCTGGTGCGGTGGAGATACCCGCTTATAGTTTTTTATTGTTAACACTTAATAAATGGGGACGCCGATCGATACTTAGCGGTTGTATGTTAACAGCAGGTGTAAGTCTTATACTTACAATTATCGTACCTAGCGATATGAATTGGTTAATCATAGTTTTAGCCATGGCTGGAAAATTGGCGATCACATCATCGTACGGAACAATTTATTTATTCTCGACTGAACAATTTCCCACCGTAGTTCGTAATGTTGGTTTAGGCGCTTCTTCTATGGTGGCCCGTATAGGCGGAATATTAGCGCCATATTTGAATTTATTGGGACAATTTTGGCGACCGTTGCCTTTATTAATATGCGGAGCTTTAGCTCTCTTAGGTGGATTACTATCCCTTATGCTTCCCGAGACTCTTAACAAAAGCCTGCCGGAAACTATGGAAGATGGTGAAAAATTCGGTCGAAAACAGAGGAGTTCAGATGGTCGTGATAGCAATAATGAAGATGGCGAAGAACTCACTACCATGATCACAAAACATAATGGCAAAATAATATCATGTACTTAACTTAATTATGTTAAATTCAAATTTTCGATAATAATTATAAGTTAATTAATAATATAAGTACATTGGAAATTGTAATGTAAACATTGATTAGAAATATTTTTTCATTACATCTACACCTAAATAAAGTTCAATTTCGTTACTAATCGGTCGATCATGTTTTGTTTTCCTTCGTCACTCGATCTTTTCGGCCGTCTCATCTATGAGGTGTTGTGCGTTAAAAAAGAAAAGAAAACAAAACCGCGAAATCTATATTAATATGCTAAGAAAGTTTACTTCAAAATATTTCCCTTTCCGTTAGTGTGTTCTTTCCCTTAAAAAAATCGGATAAATTAAATAACAAAACAGAAATTTGATACGTTTTGGAGGCTAATGTTTTAATCTCAACCATGAATTCAGATGTACCCTACACAACGTAGGGAACAGGGTATATTAACTTTGTGCGGACGTATTTAACATGTAGAAGGCCTGAACAAAATGACTGAACAAAAGCTGAACAATGGGCTGAACAAAGTTGTGTCCAACGTTTGGGCCAACGAGCGTGATTGATTAATTTTTAAAGATAACGTAACGATTACAAGTCAAATAATATGAAGTTGAAGCAAACCGCTTTTTCTACACCAAAACTAGAGATTCATCACAGTTGTCGCAACGGATATGCGTATCTTAATGGACGTTGCTATCCGTTGCTTATCAAAACTATATATTTACATATTCATTTGTTCATACATTCACCCATGTATAAATGACAAAATTTAACTAAGACCCTCTGTTGACCGGTTAAAATTCATCATTTTCCATCTCACTCCTTGCATTGATTACTTCGGCAGTGACTGTGCATATATATATATACATAGCAAAACAAAAAAGCTTTTGAATATATTTTTGTAGTATACTTTAAGTTGTTAAGGGAATTGGCAGCACTGCTTGCCAGTGCTGTTTGTACGAATGAATGACAAACGTCTTTGCGTTGTTTTGAAATGTCGTGCACTTTTGGATTCTTTTATTCAAAATTACAAATGGAATTTTGTTAAATAAATATAAATGGCATCAGCGGACGAAAGCACAATGAGAACACCGGACATTCAAGCAGAAAATAAAGTTGATGTATTAATAGTCGGGGCGGGATTATCTGGCTTAACGGCTGCCCTAAGATTGCAGCAAAAAGATCCGACATTAAAAATGCGTGTTTTAGAAGCTATGAATTTTATTGGCGGCGAAGTGACAACAACGCATTTAGGAGAAGTGGGCGCTAAATGGTTTACGTCAGATCAAATTCATATTTTTGATTTACTTCGAAATTTAAATATACCAATGACTCGTCGCGTTACAATGGCAGCAGAATTGGAAACTTGTTCCGAGATCGATGAGAAGCGTTTGTCTTCGTTAATTCATTTCGAATTGAATCGTTACATCACTGAGTTGGACTTGAGGTGGCAATTTTTCAAGCCTGGCACTAAAGGGTATAAAAACTCGCGTAATATAAATGTTTGGCAATTAGGGATTCATTCGAAAACTTTAATATCCGCAGAGACCGCAAATCGGGGCCGATGTCGGCGTACATTAATCATCGATTGTTTTTCAATGATTCCCGTCTGTTTATGAGAAATTTAGTTTTAATAATTTCTGGCGTTGATGCCGAGCATATCAGTTATGCCGATTTTATGAGAATATGTTACACGGCCGGTGGCATTAAGACTTTATATAAAATGTGAGTACACGACATACGATTCAATAATAAAAGAAATGCTTATTATTTCTACAGATTCGTTGAGGCTCCGCCAGGAGATGTAATAGAATTTTCGAGCAATGAACTATTTAAGAGACTATTGCAAATGTTGGATAAAACTCAATTTGTTTATGGCCGAGATGTTGTTGAAATACATCAGTTTAGAACCCATGTTGAAGTGCGTGATATCGCGAATGAAAGCCACATGGCAGATGTTGTCATCCTAGCAATACCGTTTAACAATCTAAAGCGGATTTACTTTTGGCCACGGCTGCCACGTGAAATGGAAAAATCTTTGAAAAAGCATAACGGTTTTCAATATGTTGTAACGAGCTTTTTAGCCAGTTACCCCGACGGTTATTGGCGTCGCAAAGGTTTTAATGGCGATTATATAGGTATCAATCCGTTGATGATATGTCACGAGTATCGTCCAAAAACTTATTGTGGTTATGTAATACTCGAGCAAGGCTTAGAAACATTAACACGCACATTGGTCTTGCAAAGGTTAGCGGAATATTATGGAAATGAAATGCTTTCGCCTTTGGAATTTCAGCAACGATCGTACGACGTAAGCAAGAAAGATCACTTGCCTTTAACTACACCCTGGAGCCGAGTTATATGGGCATCTTCAGCAGCCGCTGGGACTTGTTTTCGTGGATGTTTATCGGGCGCTGTACAGAGTGGTCTAAGGGCAGCGATGAACGCCCTACTCTTATTAAGGCCACAACTTGTCACCTGGAAGGATATAGCTGATGTTCAATGTCGTGATATGCCCCGCGAACAGGCAAGCGTTCTAACACTATGGTTAAGCACTTTGAATTTATATAATGTAACTACGTATGCAGCGTTCATAACGGGTCTAATATTTATTTTAAATCGTTTTTATAAAAGACCGCTAAGCGGAACATAGCATCCCATGAATCTACGAATTAAGGGCTCTATGCGCAAAATTTGAGAAAATCCTTGCACAACGCAAGAAATACAGGTCCATGCGGGCTTAACAGAGAAGGCCTAAACAAACAAACAAATGTCAAATTAGGTAAAGACTATTCAATATTTGCAAGTTGTCTATATACAAAAGTAATAATTGTCCTTGTGAAACCATATTGCCGCGAACACGGACTCAGCCAGAACTTATTGATGATTTTTTTTATATTATTTGTATGCCTTTCATTTATATAAAAATGTTAAAAATTTTAATTTGCTTTCTGTCCGATGTGTATATAATTACTTATTGCAAAAAAATGAATTAAAAAGAAAAAAAAAAAGAGTAACAATAAAATAAGAAATAAAAAATTCAAAAAGAAGAAGAAAATTCAAAATTATTTATGAAATTTGTAGAAATATTTAATATAATAATATTATCAATGCGATTAAAGGCAAACCGCTAGATTTGAGAACATTTTCCAGCCATCAATTATTAGTGAACATAGAAAACTGGCAAAGTGAAAAGATCATGGGACAATTAACAACATTTTTGTTTATCGGACGCGATCATATCCATTTTCAATCTTGATTGGTGGCCACATACGTGAGCCAGTTCCAATAATAGACGAACGCATGGACGGAGAGTCGGAGATTTTAAACAATCACTAAATAAAAAAAATTCATGCCCATTAGCAGGGAAAGACTTTGATTGAATTCATAGCACGAATGTTCAGCATCATTACAATGTATGTTTACATATATACATATTCAAAAAGTTTTATATTTATTTGTGGCAATATTCGAAACCTGCCTCCGTCTAGAACTGGATTTGGGGCAGGAAAAATTTGGAAAAAACTTTTGGCATCTTGCAAGAACTTTTATCGAAAGTTCCACGAAGTGCAGATCTTAAGTTGGCACAAAGAAGATAATCAGGATCCGCTCTCAGCATTCCCGTCATATTGCGGTTTTTCTCGGTAAGCTACCACAGGGAACTTTTAGTTACGTCTGGGTCTAGCTTTTCGATGTACTAGGTAAACACCTGTCTGCTGTTTTACACGATAAATAGTTGCCTTTATAAAGGTTTGTAAGCAACGTATTTTTCTAATCATCATTTACTGAGCATAAATTATGAGAAGGACACAACAAAGGCAAAACAACAATATACAAATGATTCTTCAAGCATTGAGAATGTAAATCGGAATTTCAACTTGAAAAATAAAGCAAAAAACAAGTGAAAGGTATACAGAGAAATGAACATAACATAACATGCATTGTATCTACAACAATAACAACAACAACAAAAAGGGCAATAATCCTGCAAGTACTTGTTCGGTAACAATAACAAACGCAAGAACAACAGTAGTAAACAAATTAAGCGATAGGAATTTTCTGAAAAGGTCGATTCTAAAATAATCTCATAAATCTCAGTGAACTGAATTATCGCAATGTAAACGGAATAACAGTATTTTTCCCCTGAGATGTCTTAGTGCATTCATTTAAATTTAAAGTGTGCATGTGTGTACGCAAGCACTTGTTTATGTATGTTTACTATCACTTAGTCTGGACTCTCAGAATGTGACAGACTAGACCATCATATCTCCCTCATGTTACAACATGAACTCTCCATACGCATAGCGTAGTGTGTAGTGTTTGATGGATCAGTTACTAAAATACATTCAAAGCGTTCAGTTGCTGCACAACAAATAAAGTCAGTAAAGTAATTAAACTCGTCCAACTAACTTATCTATTTTTCATTTATATTGAATTGTGCATAAACTATGCTCTCTCTCTCTCTCTCTCTCTCTCTCTCTCTCTGAATAGTGATGAATAGCATGAATAGTGAAAAAAAACAAAGTTAAGAAATATCGTAGAGAAAAAGCATAGAAAGAAAGACGACTTATGCTCTTTTTCACTTTCGTTTATGACAGACAAATTATTATTAAACAGAAAATTAACGCACATGTGTGCTAAAGATCGGCTAGAGAATCGCGGAGAACTTTTCCAGAGTATATGTACAAGAGGATTTGGAGAATCTTTATACATACATACATTTTCCGTATGTAAATGTGTTTTATTAATTTCTCCTTCTAATCGTGAAGAAAAGTGAAAGTGTTTGATAATCAATGCAAGCAAACAAGCAAGCAAAACCAATCTATCTCTCCTCTCTTTGATTATCTCTAATCTAAATGCACGTATATCGATGAATGCTCGCTTTGCTTGCTGGTGAGGATCCAGTTTTTTTTTCTTTCAATTTTTTTTTTTGCTTGCTACTCTCTTTTTCACACAATAAGCGCGAACAGTAAAAGTCAATGTCAAGCATTAACTTAATTTCAGACGTGCATTAGATTAACTAAGTAAAGCAGAGCAGTGCGAGCGTTGTGTCTCGATTAATAATAACAAAATTTTACATATTATTTATGTACGTACAACAAGCAGCAAGCAGCGTAAAGTTTTGAAAACGGAATACATGTGCATGCGACTTCTGTGTTCAATTTGAAAAAAAAAAAATAATAAAATTAAGTTACGAAAATAAAACAATGAAAATGAATAAGAATGAAAGTGAAAAACCAAAGGAATTTATAAGCGAGGAGACCTATAAAGAAATTATAACAAACGAATTGGAACGCATCGGGACAAGTGGAAAGTTTGTTTGGTAATTGTCTTGTCATTTTAAAATTTTCTATCCTATCTATCTATATTGTGGAAGCAGAGAGAGCTTGGACCGATATAAACCCCAAACCGTAATAGAGCAATTGCTAGCAGAGTATAAACTAATTTGTATTTGTAGTAAAGCAAATGTGTCTTCGTTATTGTGAAAAATTATTTTTTTTTTTGCAAATTTCTTTGTTTTTTCTTACTACAGAGAATTTTGATTTAGGCACACAAGTCATTAGCTAGCACTTTTAAAAGTTGGATTCTTTTTCCGCCATCTGTATAATGCATAATGATTCGCTTTTTACAAAAACACGTTATTCCACGCATTCAAACAAACACACACCTTGCAAGCTATATGCGTGCGTAGAGCAGCGTTATTCTTTTGATTCCTTCTTACAATTTGTCTTCAGCGTCCCATTATGGAATTGATTTATTTGATTTCAAATTCTTGCCAAGGTATGCAGTTGTCCGTTAATCGGAACAAATTGCAAGAACAGCTACAAATTCGTGGTCAAAATAATTAATCTTTCGTCTCATATTCAATGAAGGGGATATATCATGTCATCTTACAGCGTTCGATCTTTAAATTTTTAAAAGATAAGTTTCAGTACATAACCTTAAACAAAAGTAATGTGAAAATAAAGCGTTACACTATTACAAACTTGCCTCCTAAAAAAAAAAAAAAAGAGTAAAGAGGACAAATCTTTCGGCATAATCTTATAAACCGTCGCGAGAGTAGCGGAATAAGAAAGAATCGCGGCTACCAAGTCCGTATTCACAGGTTCAAAACTCTTGTGGACTTGAGTCCAAATCACTAAAGGCATAACACCCACTAGGCTGCAGCCGCCTTCCTATCTCTGCCCTTGGCCAGTCGTAAAGGGACATCCCCTGAAGTGATTGGTCATATAAAAAGAAGCAAATATAAGTAAGAAGCTGCACTAGACAACCTTATAGGAAAGCAAATGAAAGTAAAATGTCGCGACAAAACAAACTAAAAGTGAATTTCTCTACATAACCTCAAAAAAACTAAATAATATTAAAGCCTCGCCGTAAAAAGATGAAAAGAGAAAAAACAACAAATTCCCATCTAAACAATTTCCCCCAATTAAACCGGGAACAATTTAAGCATATTTTCCAAAAAATTTCAATTTTAAGGTTTTCCCCATTGACGTGGAAGGAGTTTCCATTCCGACCGAGTTGTTATGATTCGTTTTTTATTCATGTATCTCCATTGTAGACTTTTCAGACCAATTCAGTCTGCCCGTCCGTATGTCTGCGTTCGAAGTTCTCAAAGTCTACAATAAACTAGTAACTAGAAAACATAAACAATGTCCAAACGAAGACTCCCAGTTAAGTTTCATAGATCAAAATTCAAGAGGTAAGCAGACTTTGTTTAAAACCAGACAAACAGGCGTTGATGAAAAACTGCCGTTATAACGGCAGTAAATTGGTGCTAATGGTTATAAAGTTCTAGTAAATTGAAGGCGCCATTATTGCTAATAAAAACAACATTCTTACAGCGTGCAATACTATGGCACAACAAACATAATCTCAAAAGAGAGAGAGAGAGAGCTTCTCTAGATAAGATCATGTGTTTCTGATCATTTTTTAAGGTCGCCTAAGATTTCTATTTATTGTGCTGCTGGAAAGGGAAATTTTTTTATTTCCAAGAATTTCAAGAATTCGTGGACAGGCTGACATGGCTCATCGCATGGGCGATTGGTCGATCGAAGGAAAGCTAGCGTAAATAGAGCTTCGATCGAGTAGACGAATGAGCGAAGGCCTGGTCGGACATGGTCGGAATGCACAGTCGATCAAATGTTCTGTACGCTTAGCCGAATAGATGAACGGACAGACGAATGAATAGATGACGCACGAATAGATGTTTTATCAGTCAATTTAGGGCCTAAAGTATGAAAATATTTGCATTATTTTAGATTAGTAAAGCAATATTAGTACAGTCTCTTCTACCGGCGAAGAATATATAGTTCTATCATTCTGCCCTGCATTCCTATTCGCTTTCACGCATTTATATTTGTCTTTATTTGTTTATATTTTCTGTTTAATTTCTTTTGTGTTTTGCTTTGAAAAAATTCATAAAAATTTATCAATTTTAATTAAAAACTTCGTTAGTTTCTAAACGCGTGAACTCTTTTCAGATAAAGTAAAAAATTTTCTGTTTTTTCATTCTTCTTCTTTCTTAACCGCCATAACATTCGTGATGTAGTAAAGTTTTCTTATCTTGGATTGCTACCGAAGAAAGTCTTTCTTACATTTAAACCAACTGAACATGCGATACTTTGTCATTCTATTCTCAAATTTTGGTTTAGTGACAAGAATTTCTCAATTTTTCAACTGTGATTTAATTTTTTTATCCAGCAAATAGCACCAAGGATGGGGGTACACCACGTTTGCCTATACCTTGGAGACCTATACCTATGTCCGCATGTACTCCTTCATTATTAGTAGAAACTTCAATTTAAAATTTAAAGGAGAACTTTGCATTAATATTTGATCACGCCTTAATACTTTTCTTGAATCTGCCCATAAATAGCGAAAAAGTTTCAAATTGCAAGTTGCTACCTGTAGTTAACAATGATTAAAAAGTTGTTTATAATAGTACCTTAATGCATTAGTAGATCCACATATTCGGTACGCCCCTAAAAGTATTTTCGCCTTTCATATAACTGTCGCAACGCTTGGTGAATACCCAAGATACTTATCACGGCATGCATAACTGTTTTGATCATTTTCATCATGCAATTAAGATTTAGTTCATTTTCAATTAGCCGTCCGGACAAGTAATTACGTCCAATATTTAACTATATTATATTTAATTGCACACAAGAAGAGACTAATACGCAGGTACATGCATACATACGTACAATCGCGAGAGGCATCTTGAAAAAAAATGTCTTAAATATGTGTACAATGAGAAGATTCGTTGCTGAAGCCGTATTCAACGATGCACATAAGAGCAATTTTTTTGCTATACATATATATATATATATATATGCAAATCAGAACTCCTTGAAGTAAATTAAAACTTGGATCGAATGGTAAAAAATGAAATTTTTTCTAATTTAATACAGAATTCTTGCGAATGATATTTTCAAATAAAACATTGCTCTAGTTTGATATGAACATCTTTACACACATACACATGCATTATATCAGTTACAAGCACAAAGAAATTACGAGGCTTCTACCAAAAAGGTGGAATTTCACAATTTTGTGTTCATTTAACGTATGTGTTAGAAATGGAATGTCAAGCGGTCAACAGATCTAAATTTTCCCTTGCTAAGAAATGTTTTTATCACGTGTGTTTTTATATATATATATATATACGTGTATATGTTCATACGTGCACTTCTTCACATTCTGTATCTAAAATTTTTCTACTCTCACAGTAGGCATCTTTAGAATCGCGCGATTTTAATAATTCTCCCAACACAGGTTCGACAAGTTTGACAAGTCCATAGATGACAAAAAAAAAAACATCATGACATTTGTTAGTTCATTCCAAAGTAATTGTGTTTTGAAAATAATCCAAAATTCTGGAAAAATTCGCTTATCCTACATCGTTTATCGCTTCGAAGAAGAGAATAACGCTTCGCAGGTTGATGGAAAAACGCATAATGTTTTTGGCAAAGATATAAACGTTTTGCAGAAGGCCTGGACGCAAAAGTAACTTCGATATTTAGACACCTTATGCATTACTTGCGGAAAGCTTAATGGGCCGAACTTCCATCGGCGAATCTTTGTTGAAACGAGACGATATCGAGCCATTTTTGAGGACATCACTGACGAACAATGTGAAATGAATGGTCACATACGACCATAAAGCCCGGAAAGTTCCGTGATGAAACTATTCAAAGCCAGACTGATGACACATAAGACACGGCTTAGTGGTTGATAGTATTGGACGGAAACCGTGCATGATAAGCTACCGCAATCTGGCCAAATTATAATGATATATATATATATGTATATCACTTTTGCAAAAATTAGAAAAGCTTTTCAATATCACTGGATTTGAACAACCTTTTGAAGCATCTTCTTAAAAATGGATGTAAACTCATTCTCCAGTTCAGCCAACCTTAAAAATTAGATCGTATTTTAACATTGTGACCGATCGCCTATCACGAGGGAATACAACCTCCGTTCTCGTAAGAATTTTTTCTGTGACTTTCTATCAAACTTGATATTCCCTAGCAATGATCTCGGTCTCTCACACAATCAAACTCGTCTATTTTTCTTTTCTTTTTTTTTTTTTTAAATATTCGTGGTAAACCTGGGACTTTCCTCGTATAAGAGCACAGTGCCAGTGTTGGGAAATAATTTCTAGGCAGATAAACGTTTTCCACGCGAGTTAGGGACCGTAATTAGTACGACGAGAAGATCAAAATGAGTGTATTCGAATTTCTCGCGCTCTTCCGCTGATTGCTCCACTGTCCACTGATACAAATGTCTGCTCTCACGCATATGTTGACAGTGTTATAAATAGATTTTTATTAATTTGTTCTTTAAGCATAGGTACAAAGGAAATATTCAAGTGTGTTTTCATATTAGCAATGCGTTTACAGATTCATTATTGAATTAAACGAAAAAAAAAAAGTAAATAATAATAATAATAATAATAATTCCACATTCCGGGACAATAACCATATCAATTTTATTATATATAATGAATAGATTTTCATATGTAAAAAAAAAAAAAAAAACATATGCAATAAATTTTGCGTAACTACCACACGCTAAGGAAGACGTGAATAAAAAAAGAGTTCTCAAAATCGCTTAAATTTTTTTATTAATTATGAACGTATCGATACGCCTTTTACGAAATGTTCAATACCGATAACCAGCAAGCTTTGGAACTTACGGCGAAAATACGGAGAAATTTTCATTTTGTTTTTTATTTCGACGTTTTTTACTTTACTTTATTGCCATTTCGTCTAAAAAAATATATAGCGTTTCTGCAAGAAAAAGGTCGTTCCAAGTCGATCACTGAATGGAGTCATTGGTTGAAAAACCGCGTGACTAGTGGTGTCGGCGTACAGCCATCGTATTACATGGAATGAATGTTAGTCTAAAAAAAGGTTATCGTAACGCAATCCTTTCGCTGTAATAGGCGCACCAGTAACATTTTCGCAGTTACACAGCTTGCCCCGAAAAGTTCGCAATGGTTGACGGGTTTGTTTGATTATTTCTTTTGGACTTTCGGAGCCGCTAAGCAACGCCGCCAGACGAAAATATATTATCTTACTTAGAATTCTATAATTTGCATGTGGACATACGGACAACTGGTCGAAAATATGAGACCGGTTTGGAGTAAATGTTACAAACGATTTGAAATATTAAGCGCTTTTCATATTTCTGTAATAGTGATGACAGACTACATAATGAAGTATCTGCTCATAGCTCCTCTATCTGACCACTATTGCAATCACGCATTTTAACAATAAGCATAAGCGTATAATACACACATCCAACATGCATTTCAGTAAATGAGCACAATACAGAAGAATGATTTTGCTATATTACAAAGTCCAAAAAGGAACAGTCGCGTATGATGTCCATCTGTCCATCGGTTATCAGATTTTTCAAAGTCATAAAAATTGGTATAAATATCTCGAACTTGGATTAAATGAATGGTTCTTGACTACGTGCCAAAAGTCGATAGATGCTTCGAGTTTATAAAATATGCAGTAAATGTGGTTATGTTTACGCAACGACTCAGAAAAAGAATATTTTTGTCGATATTACATTTTGCTATAGGAAACATTAAAGCATCTAGCACTTACCAATCTAAATGTCGCGATTTAAACGGCTTCCTTTAGTCTGTGTGAACCTGGAATAAAAAAAAAAATATATATATATATATATATATTCTTATGCCTCAGATTCGGTTTAAGATGATCACAGCTTTTATTATATACACATAAATATATAATTATATATAAGCACATACATGCAGGCATACATGTAAACATTCACGACTCATATATTCATTCATTCATACAGTTTTTTATTTAAGATTTGCAAATAAGTTGTACTTCGCTGTACTTTGCCTTGGTTCATACGCATAACGTAGGTTAATTTATAACGACTACAGAATCGCTTCTTACGAATTGATAGCAAAAATTTACTTTCAACGCTTCATTTTTCATAAACATTAGTATGTATGTGCACACTCATTTATAAATTTTAATTCATTTTAATCGCAATTTTACTTAATTTTTGTTGCAATTACAAAACTCAAGGAGTGACATACATACAAATACATATGCAAACATATAAATATGTGATTTAGAGGGTTAAAAATAACTTTGCATATTGTATCACGTGATTTGATCAAAATATTATGAAAGCGGGAATTTCGTCATTCTCGTACGATTATCAAAATCAAATTCGAAGCGAAAGGGTTATCAGCAGCGACTACTAATGCTACATCCAGTATTGTAAAACACATATGTGTATGTAGGCACAATTGTAAAAAGAAGAAACAAGTTAAAACGTTATAGTTGAGCAATGCCGAATCTTAAATACCCTGCATTACATAATCTAATAGGATTCTCTATTCCCTCCCGTTCATAATACTTGAGAAACTATATTTTGCTGCCATGTAAAGGCATCTTATTTTTCATAAGATCGTTTATATGGGAGCGGTGTTTCAAGAAATAGATCTATATGCACCTAAATCTCTTTTTACACGATAGTGTAAAAAAAAATTCGTGTAAAGAAAGACATTGACTAAATGAAAAAATACGAGATTGTTGTTATTCTTCCTGAATCAGGGATCTAAAGAATATATATAACGCTCTCAGCATAAATAAAATGTAAAACTATAATTTAGATCGCTGAACGAAGAACAAACTGAAAAATCATTAATGACATTTACGCCCAGTTTATACGTAGGCATGTATATGTTTACGAAAGACTTCTCCACCTACATACGTTACAAATATAGATGTGATAAGGAAGCAAAAGAGCAGAGAATTTAATGGCACGGGTTACAAGTTAGAACCTTGGCCCAAATAGAATGACAAACTGTCTATTGTAGGAACAGATCTAAAATTAAACCGAATTTTTTTTTTTTAATTATCAAAACAAAAAACTTTTTTCCTTTTTCTTTCAACAGTGTATTTGTTTTGTTCTTCTCTCACGTCTTCTCCTGCTCTATAATTTCTTCCACTCTACATAATATGATAGACTTTAACTTGTAATTGTCAGTTCTTTTTACTTTGGGGATAGTACCAAAGAAGAGAAGTAAATATTGAAGTAAAGAAAAACAAAGAAGGGGATGAATATTTTGTAAAGTCCACCAGTGCGTATTATGAACATTATACGAAAAGAAGTAACAAAATCAATTTATTCCTATACTAGCGGTATAAAAAATCTTGACTACCTTCAATATTGTTCGACGCATTCCTGTATTTCAAATACTGATAACTACGCAATAACAGTAATGAGATATAAAATAAAACTTAAAAGTCCCAAGGAATTGCATTAGCATGATCAACTACACTCAACTATGTATGATTTATGGAGATCGACCTAGAATTTTCATTGAATTTATAGCACATAACAGGCCATAAGACACGTAAGAATCAAGCGTTATTATGCACATTACACTAGTGCGCTAGTCTAGTGCTTTGGAACTTATAGAAGTAGGCTCCGTTGTCCACTAAACAGATAAATTTTGAAATCGATCTCTCTCTCTCTCTCTCTCTCTCTCCCTCTATCTCCTTACAAAGGTATCCATTTATCAATGTCACAAACACAGCCTTAACACTTACGCTCATTGAAACATATTTGTTGTCGTCATCGACAGAATTGGTTTAGCCGATAAACCCGTTTTTATGCACATACAATATATGTATATATATTTTTACCACTGCAAACGTACTGGTGGTATCTACAGAGGTAGACGTATATACGCCTATCTCTCTATACGATAACCATTACTAAAACGCTGTCGGAAGGCTTACGGTTACAAAGTTGAGATAGAAAACTGAAATCTATCGCTCATAGCCTTATCTCTTAGTTGACGCCATAGGGTTATAATCTGTTATCCAAACATCTTTAGTAGAACCAAGTCCGCGTCAAACATCGCCATTATTCACGCTTAAACATGCCGGGTACGCAAAAAAAGTTTTTACTTATTTTGCTAAAATATTCCCCAACGACGCGTAAAAGACCTCTGTAGAGCTTATTGCGATTGGGGAACAAGAATATTGGAAATTTAGAAATTACTTGGCAATTTAAGTCCGATCATGATGAAATTTTGCTTCCGATGGCAATACAATCGATCTCTCTACATATTCCTATACATGACGGGCTCGGCAGTTTGGCGGAATATCAAATTCGACAAGCAAAGTGTAGAAATTTGAGAATTTGATATCGCGTAGACCATAAACTAAAAATGGATTGATTGTCTCTTTCGTAGCATTCCCCTTCATATGGACATCAAGTCGAAGAACATGAAGGGCAGAAAGCGAGTTGTAATAGACGAAAATGTAAAAAATAAGTTAAGTTAAAATCCGATTTTTTTAAGCAACCGTTAAATGAACTGATAAGTGAGAAACTATAAATTTTGTTCTAGTCATTTTTATGCGGCCACACACAAAAGCTTGGGGCGTTTACGAAAAAAAATGGAATTTTTCGCGCATCAAATGTGCTTTATGTACAGTCACGTAAACGTAGTTGAGAAAACATTTATTTTTTGCTTTTTATTTCATTCAAAAAAAAAAAAAAAATAATAAAAAATTTATTTTTATTTATTTATAGGGGTATCAAAGATTCGATCTTAATCGGATATAAATTCCATACTTGATTTTTCCATTTAATGTTTTTATATTGAGCAACTAATTAATATCGCCATTTAATAAAGGCATGCGAATATGTGTTTGTATCATTAACTAATTGATAAAAATTGCAAATTAGAGTCTCACGTTACGCATTGAACTTGAACTTGAATAATGCTTCTTACGTACGGATGCGTGCGTGTAATGCATGCGCAAACTAGTCAATGCAATATGTGCACGGAAAATTAATAAGTTTCCGGCATAAATTTTGTTTTTGTTGTATTTGAAAACAAAATTGTTTATTTCCTTCATTTGTTTAATTCTTTTTGTACTTTAAGGCGCCAGATGATTAAGGCATACTAAGCTTGTTATGCTATACGTGACTTTAATTTAAAGTAAAATATTATGAATAGCTAGCTCTTCTGCTGTCGCTTTGTCTCCGTTTTCTTTCCATTTTTTTTTTTTTTTTTTTTATTAGTTCAAATGATCCCTCAAGAAGGTTAGCTAAAATGTTTTTGAAGGAGGGATGAAATTTTAAACGGCACTGAAAACTTAGAAAGTTCCTTATTCACGCAACATGTGCTCTTTGAATTTGCCGCGTCCCCGGCATCTTCGACGTTTATCTTGTCTGCGTTGAAATTGAATTTTAAAGAATGACTCAGAAGAATGTTCAGAAGAGCGTACAAGATGGTTTTAAGTATCAAAACTATGTTGAAAATGTTTTGTTTTTATTTTTATCCACGATCTTACTCGTCTCCTTCATTATTTTACTCCACAATAGGTTTTTATTTTTCCTTTGCATTACACCAAACATCTTAAATGGCTTTCATGTTAACTCGTATACCATGCTGGGCCATCTACCTGACGATCAATGGTGCGAAATTGATGATCTTCGAAACACGAACTGGACGATCGATCAGATACTCAGCATATCGCAAAGAGATCTAAATACTAAAGGCTGCACAATTTGGAATTGGGATTATCAATATTTAAGCGAAATAAGTTTTGAGGAGGCCTACAATTATACCTCGCGCATGTCCGATATAAGTTTACCGTCTGAGATTGCCTGTAAAGCGAAGGGTTCGTATCAATACACCGCTCCCGCGAGTACATTCGTAACGGACTGGGAGCTGGTATGTGAAAATGCGATTCAGCGTACTTCAGCGCAGGTTTTCATTTCATTGGGTAAATTTTTCGGCTCCTTTTCGTTCGGTATATTTGCCGACAAGTAAGCAACTTTTACTATTTAATTAAATATTTTTTTATGAAAAAATATTGTTGTAATAATTTTTTTTTTTTTTTTCTCTTTTAACAGATACGGACGCAAATCGGCGTTTACATTAGGAGCTGCTTTCTTCATTGTCTCCAGTCTCTTTTGTACGTTTTCGCCTTGGTATAGCCTATTTTTAATAGGACGCTTCGGTTTAGGCTCAGCCTCTTCAGGCCTGTTTTACCCTGGTTTCACTATGAGTATGTATTTAAGTGGTTTTTCTTCTTTTTTTTTTTTGTTTTACCAATATATAGCACTGATCATGTATGAAATTTGTGCGGGTTTAAACAGTATCGAGAATGACTTTTTATTACAGTTCAAATACAATTTAAGGCTATCTTTCCCTCTCTGTCTCTCTGTCTGATGGTCATCCGTGAATTTTTGTCTTCAACATATTAACCTTAAGAAGAAGAGACAAATTTGTATAGAATATCGGGCTTTGCCGTCAACTGTAACGTGTTAGTAATTGCTTTGTTTTGTATTTACAGTTGTGGAAAACATATGCATAAAACATCGCTCCTGGATGTCGATAGCCTTTTCAGCATCTTATCCGATTGGCATGATCTTAATGGCTGCAGCAGCTTACCTAGTCGAACCGTGGCGTTATCTACAATTGACTTTAACTATACCCGCTTTGCTGGCGATAATCAATTGCTAGTAAGCACATACTCTATGCATATTTATGTTATTGTTTCTTAATGTTTACTGTTTATCATATTCGCAGTCTGCTTCCTGAGTCCCCGCGCTGGCTTCTTGCGAAGGGACGTTATGATAAAGCCTACAGAATAGTGTTTAAGCAAAAAAGTCATTATCACCTCAACAAAATGACTACAATTGAGAACTTTACAGTTACCGATAAGAAAACCGTAAGATTATGCATTGTGTAGTGTTAAGTGTAGTGCATAAGACGATAATCTTCTTCTTCTTTTTTGCCGTTGTATTTAGGATAGCTGTACAACTGTAACGTTATGGGGAAAATTAAAGGCTGGTCCTCTAAAACAGATAATTGAATTATTCGCTACTGGAAGAGTTCGTAAACTGATTTTGACATCGTATTTTATGTTTTGCGTTACCTCGTTATGTTATTACGTTACCGGTTAGTTGTGATTCTCTTAATATCGAAGAGTTCCATCCAATAATTATTCTCATTTATTCTTGCAGCTTTAAATGCCGCCAATTTAGCGGTTAGCCGTTTCTTTTACGTGGCTATAACTGGTCTTGTAGATTTACCATCTTATTTGGTGCCTGTGGTAATGTTACGCTTTACCGGTCGTAAAGTAACGACCATGTTAATGTTCTTTTTAACTGGCATAGCTTTACTTATGGTTTTAGTGGTGCCCGAAAGTAAACGTTCAAATAATTCGCATATATGCCTGCAGCCATGTTTTTAACTAAGTTTTATTCCAGGCAGTACTACTTGGGTAGTAGCGTTCGCTATGTTGGGTCGCTTCGGTATCAGTGCCACATATTCCGTTGTAACTCTGTACGCAGCTGAATTGTTTCCCACCGAAATTCGCAATTCAGCTTTGGGCACTTGTTCGACGTGGGCGCATGTAGGCTCGATAACAGCCCCATACGCTGTAGATATTTTGGTAAGCAAGATTATATTCATATTTTATTTTTCATTTCATATAATTTTTGTTTTTTTTATGAAAGGGTCCCTTGGGTTGGTATTTACCCACCACAATTTGCGGGGTCTGCGTATTAGCAGCTGGCCTTTTAACGTTATTATTACCCGAAACTGGTACGGGCAAGCTATCCGATCATATCGAGGATGTGCCCGCTACATCAACTTCAGATATGACACCGATATCTAACAATAAATTGCGAAATTTTCCAAAGGTCACAAATTAAACAAAGCAAACTCACACATATATATATGTGTACACTATTTTTGACGTCTAATTTACATCTTATTTATGTATATATAAGCAATCTTAAAATTATTAAAATTATTATTTCAGTTTGTTTCATTCATTACCGAATTAATCCATTCTTTGTATGCCCCAGCAATAGTATAAATAGCAGGTACATTCATTAGACCACAACTCAACCCATGCGATATTATTCCATAAACATAAAATTTACCCTGGTATTTGCAGATTAGTGGTCCCCCCGAATCGCCCTAAAAAGTAAGATATCAAGATAAGATATCAAAGTTTCGTAGGCACTCAACGAGGCAAATTCTATCAAAAATTCAACCTGACACGTATCCTGAGTTAAGCCCAAAGCGCAAACTTGATTATCGCCTTTTTGAGGAGCCCAAGCGCGATTCAACAATCGGCGACAATCACGATTCGAAAGAACATATACTTCGGCTTTGTACATTTGATTCTGAACCGCTCCAGCAAATTGCTTAGCCCCAAAGCCGATAATCTTGCAAGGATCTTGAAAAAGTATTGCATATATTTACAAAGAGACACGTAACGATGGGTAGCAAACTTGAACAGAACTTACTTTTTCTATAGGCTTTCATACCATAACTTGGTATTTTCGCGTAAGTAGTAAACCCGTTATAAGCCTCGTATAAGCGTAGTAAAGCGATATCATTGCGAAGACTAGAACTAAAAAATTGTTTTTTCTTCATTTGTACGCTTGCAAGCGTATGAGTACTTTACAAGAAAGCTACTGAACTTGTTAATTTACCCTCCGTCATATATGTATATATATATATATGTATACACTATTGTAGCTTAGTTTGAATACTCAGGAAATATGGAAACTTATTTGTGCAATGCGTAGCTAAACATTCGAAGACCTTTGCGGAAAACCATCGTTCGCTTCCCGTGTATCGGATGAGTCCCGTGTGTTAAATTGATTGATTTAAGCCTGTAAACGAACCTAATGATGCCCTAGTACTAGTAGTCCCCCTAGTAACTTCTATATTATGATTTCAAAACCGCCTACATTGCAATGATGAACTATCAAAAGTATATCGAACGGGGCAGTATATGTATAAATTTATTTCCTTTCTAACTTACTACTGAAAATATATATATTCCACCCGCTGTACTGGCCGATATTCTTCGCGTGAAACATTTCTTAAGTTACCTCGACCAATAACCGCAAACACATTTTCCAAATTTCTACAAGAGAAAAAGCTAAAGAGTAAAGCTCAAATTATGTTCTTCTCAAATCACGTTCACCTTTGCCATAAGCAATGGGCAGATGTTAAAATCCATTTGTTATTTAACAAACTGCCGCCACAAAAATGTTTAAATTCCTCCTCCTCTAATATTCGGGAAACTTGAAATTTCTCTTGCAACGAAACCATAAATGAATATTTAAATATTTCTGAAATTCAATTTTATAATAATCAATACTTTTTCTGTTTTGTCGAAATACCATTTACGCCGACAACCTGATCACCACCCACAATTGGCGATTGTTCTGCTTGGCCCAACAGAAAGTTAAAGAAATAATGGTAAATACCGCTTAGCAAGAACATGATCACAAGTTGTGCTGTTTGCAATAAACGACTAAATATTAGCGCCTTGGAAAAGTAGACCGAAAGCTTTTTTAAAAAAATTAATTTTGTTTGAGAATAAAATAAGATCCAAAAGATTAGTATAAATGATGTATCGCAAGCTGTGCAAATATTCAATGAAGTGCGCATATTTAGATAAGCAAATGAAGGTAAGCAAATAAATTATTTTAGAATGTTTTCAATTAACTAGAAAGAGACGGAGCTATGCAAGCCTTCTAACAACATAAAGATAATAATTGAACAAAATCATCGTTAATCAGTCAAATAGCAAAAATACTTTGCTTAATCACCGGGCACTTTATTACCTACCCATCTTCATGCCAATGTATGCAGTTTCTTATGTGGTTTTGATTACGTCTGAACACCTAACTCCACCATCACCAAATTCAATCGAAGTTCTCAAACTCGTAGAATTCACTCTTAGTTCATTTCCAAGCAGTCGAAGAAAATCGGAAAGAAACTCGAGCGAAAAAAAAAAAAAACAAGAAGGAAATTGCATTCGGCTTGGACTGACTATTAGCGAATTTTGGAATGGAAAAGGTTTTTACTCTCGTGCGAATCGTTTGTTTATCGATAACGTATGTGTGGGCCATGTATTCATTTGTTTTTTATATCAAGAACTGTTGCTTACATTCTAACAAAGATTATTGCGTCGGAGACTTGATGTTAATACTGAGTAAATGGCCGTCGCAGAACTCCTTTGAAAGTACCTAAGCCACTCCGAATTTTACCTGCAACATAATCTTACACTTTAGCGATAAAATCTACTGCTTTAATATATATTTCAAAAATGGACGAAATTATCTCAAGCTTGAGTCAAGCAAAGTCGTCGATGAATGTTTTCAATAATCTGCCAGGAACTACTAGGCATTTTAATCACCTAATTCATGCAGCAATAAGATCGTCGAGCCAACTAACCGATTAACTTGTCCTTGCACTCATCTATTTAGTCTAATGAATAATATGAAATAAATCCAAGCGAATAAATGCGCGTAATTAGTGGAGAATTTTATCTTATTTAGGATAAGAGAAAAGAAAGTGAAAAAGTTTCCACAAAATCCACCAATTCGTTTTTTTCCTGTTTCATTGGCGGTGCTGCCCATTTTTTGTAAATAGTATTCCATATCGATTTTGATCATAATTCATGCAAATGTGATTAGTAATCATTTGTAGATGGTATTATGCCCAACCACCACATGTCGTTAAAGCCCTCTATTGGAAAACGGCGGACATCGACCGCAAAAACACTCACTTGCTAAGAGAAGAGCTCATATCTAAGAAGAGAAGCAAAGAGAGAAAGAGAGAGAGAGAGACACAGAGAGAAAACAAAGTTTGTTTACAACAATTAAGGTCCTATATATTTGTTGTTGCAAAATCCGAGGGCCTGGCAAAGTTTGCTTTCATTCGTCTTTCTCGTTTGCTGACATATAAAACATAAAGAAGACAAAAAGTAATTGTATTTCGCAGGTAATAAAACCTCAATTAGGTGAAATATTTTCTCGCTAAAAAGATTTTGACATTAAGTTGGGCGCACTGAAAGCAATAATTAAACAGAAAATGTAAAATTCCTCCAGATGTGGCTACTCACTGCATTCAATGTATTCTCTCCTTTCAAACGGACAAAAATGGAGTTTATATATGAATTGTGATAAGTAACAGGGAATTTTTGTAGTACGGAAACTCTGTCGCAATCTTTTATAAAAGCCTATTGTCTCCTTACAATCGACGCTTCATTGCTGGAATCTTCATTTTGCACGTGCAAACTTGGCAACAATTTCAATTACTTACGGTATCACGTTTTCTCTTTGCAAAGTTGGTACGACATTAAAGTAACTAAAAGGATAAGGACTTTTTAGTTACAGTTAGCACAAAAACCATTTTGGAAAAAGCATAAATCAATAATATGCCGCGTGGACCTAAACGCAGCAAGTGAGTAATATTAAGTTTTCGTATAGAAAAAAAAAAAAAAAAAACAAATAAATAAAATATAAATTTGGTTTCGTTAGGTCTCGACAAAGCGGCCAAAGCAGCCACGATTCCGATTTTCATAGCAATCTGGAAACACATCAGGTAAGTAGTGGCAGATTGCTTCTGTAGGAAACTTAAGGCATATCTTCTTTTCGCATCAATATTTCAGTATCATCAGCAAAATGGCGACACTCACAACAATGGAAATCAACAACATCGTTGCGGGTTATGTCTTAAGCCGGCAACTCAAGCATGTGAAAGATGCGGAGATTGCTATTGCTCCCGAGAGTGTCAAAGAAAAGATTGGCCTGATCATCGCCCAATATGTTTTCGAATGCCGTAAGTTTTCTTATGCATTGCTCGCATTACTTTGCAATTTATCATTTTTTTTTTTTTTTTTTTTTTTTTGTGTTCATCAGACGCTTGGTTCCCATTGGTTGTGAGCTAGAAGATGACAACATAAGTTATAATGAAATCCCGAAAATGTCGGATCGTGCATTCAGTAATAGTTACGATGCTCACGATGCGCAACCGGAAAACGCGGCGGGCATACCAGCGGTAAAAGCAAACAGCATTGGAGCAATGAAATCGGAAGATCAAAAGACGCTTAATGGAGGTCGATCTCAGCTGAGCCCAGATCAAACATTAGCAACTAAATTTCCTAAGCATGGCAGCTGCGTTATTTTAATTACTTTTCGCACACCTAATCGTTGCTACATACGCTCATCGAATCCATCCGATGTGGAAGCATACGTATCGTTGTTGAAAAAAGTCGAACAATATGGCAAAACCGCACCACAATTGAAGAATGTTTCAATCGATGATTATGCCATAGCATTGCGCGGACGGATATTCCATCGTGTACAAATTGTGAGTCGAAACGAAAATCGTTATCGCGTTCATTTCATTGACCACGGTAACTTAGAACATCGGTCCTTGAAAGAACTGTTTGAGATAAATGACGAAATTGTACACCTGCCCCGTTACGCGAAACTTGTACAGCTTCATAATGTTAAACGCTCGGTAGGATTGGAAAATTTTACGAGAAAATTCTCTCCCTACGACAATATGGAATTTAAAATTTTGTATGTCAGAGAAGGTATGGAAATACCGTTGGTTAATCTACATCACTGGCAATCCAATAAATTGTTAAATGAGGAGATTGCAAAGCTTATAAATAATAGTACTAAGCCGAAGGAAGGAAACGGTTCGAGTCAAAATAATGATTGCAAAGATTTTAGACAGACAGAAAGCAGCAATCATATTAGAAGACCATATAACGCGACGAAAGTAAAGGCTGATATGATTATTAACCCTCGATCTGCAGATAACAATACTACAGTTCAGAACGCAAATAGCGACGTCGAAATAGGGGAAAGCGCAAAAGATGATCTAGTGGAAGTTACAAAAGAATCGAAACATGATAAAGAGGATAATAATAACAGGAAAGATGTTGATGATAACCTACTCTCTAAAGGAGCTGTGCCGAAGAGACCAGCGATGCCAACTATCGTCTCCAAACAAATTGAATATCCTTGCATGAATCCTGTAAGTAAAGATATTTATATATGGCATTTGTTTTCAATTCATAAACGTCTATATATCCGTGTTCGGGGGAGAAAGAGAGTGAGCGGACATATAAGTCTATAAATATGAACTAAAAATTATAGAAAGTACAGTTTCGAGAGAAAGGAAAATCCATTATAATCTCATAACGTTTGTTAGTAGCGTATTTGGATTAATCAGGAAATTGCTTTTTTGGGTATTATCTTGCATACGGATCGTTATTATAATAAAGTTTTTGGACATTATGCCTGATGAGGGCGAAAGGGGAAGCACATTGAAATCAAATTCGTAATTGTCATCTAAGGAAATTTTTCCTTTTTTGTTAATTGCGGAAGGTCGTGCGATCGATATGAGAAAATGTATTGCGAGTTAAATCGTTCTTTTAGGTATATTTTTTGTGAGCTATATTCACAAGTGATTGGACAGGTACAAACTTGAGGCATGCATTTCTTCTGGTTGACGAATATATGGTCCCTATAAGCCCCTCGTGGGTCTGTGTAAACGTATCGGCGACCTGACCAGTGCATAACTATTGCCTTACGCTAGTTTCCTGACATATTGTAGATTGGTAGACATTTTTGACGAGTTTTACTCCAAAATCCCGGTATATTTCTTATTTATTTTGTGTAGCAACAATGTGAACATAACTGTATTTCACTTATTTTGATTTTTTTGTTTTTTTTCTATAGCCTTTTAAAGTGAATAAATTTTCTATGGATGCAAAAGATTTCAATGTGGTTGTCTTGGATAATGGAACGATTAATTTTGGATATGTCGGTTGCATACCCCAGGCAGGTGTAGATTCTTTAAAGGAACTACAAACTTACTTGGTTAAAGAATACGAAGATGACGGGCACAGCTACGAACCTAAGTATGAAATTTACTTAAACATCTCTAAAGGTTCAAAGAAATAATTCTGTTCTTCTCTTATCCGCTTTACAAACAGATTAACAGAATATTGTTTGGCAAAATTTGATGGAGATTGGTATCGTGCAAAAGTTATTGACAGTCCTCTAGAAGATGAGTACACTGTATATTACATAGATTTTGGTAATGAATTAACCGTTCGAAGTAAGGATATACGACGTTATCCAAAGGATTTGATTGTAGATTGTAACACTAATCTTTCTTTAATTGATGGTAAGTGACATTAATTAAACATATCTACACACAACTGCAATAAATCTTCTAACATATATAATAAACTTCAGGTCTACCTGATCAAATGGAACATGAACAAATCGAATTTTTAAAAAACGAGTTAACTTTCTATTCAGTTCTTAAAGTAGATTCCGTCATAGATATTGACGAGGACCTAGTCGTTATTAGATGCAACGATCTGTTAAGAAAAATGAAGGAAAATGGTCTACTGGAAGACAAGGTGAAAAGACATTTTTAAACAGCAACTTATGATATTTTAATTACCGCTTTCTTACAAATCCACAGCAATATGAATGAAATAAAACATTTTAACTTGCATATTATAATATATCCATTATTGCTTTTTTGTAAATCATTGTGAACGAAAATAAAGCATTTTCTCTTACGTTTAAATGAAACGTTTTACAAGTTGTTAATATATAATAAATTGGGAGGAAAGTTGAGGCTCTTCAAACGATTACAGTGAAATAGTCTAGTCTGCGGGCGAGCACGCATACTCCGTGATGCGGCGGGATTATTAATTTTATTTTCAACGATTTTTACAGCGAGGTATTTAGTCCAGCGTTACATTCTTTTTAAGCGACACGTATCAAGAAAATAAGAGAGTAATACATCTTTTTGCCTATTGCGCAATTATATCCATTAATATTCGATGGCAACAACCATACCGTGGTTTATAACAAATTCCACGGCACTTTCAATGCTAATCTCTGGGTCCCTTTGCCTTTCATTATCCCATGACAATTCTCCACATCATCTTTATCAAAAAGCGATTGTCCCGCAAGCAAAACTCTCTCATTGTGCCAACCATTCTCGCCGCCGATTTGTGTTGGGCACTCTGAAGAGGCGATTCACATTTATTCGCGAATATTGATTAGAAGGAAAGATCACTTCATACAATATACCACATATGTTCGTTGATTGATTCCTTTGTTCCCGATAGGGCGTACATTTAAATTTCAACAGAGAAAACATCGATATACAGTGAGTTATTAGAAGTGAATCTTAAGTAGTGGCTTGGATTATTTATTCAGAAAGTCTTCTTCTTTTAATTTTTAAATATAAACTCAGTATTCAGTATCCCAATTCAAATATACGCATGCTTTAATGCATCATTACACATCTTTAAAACGAAATAACTGAACTCTAAAATAAAATAAATGTTACCGTCCAATGGAATATATGGTAATAGGAACCAGACCATATTAGCGAGGAAAAGCTTTTAAGCTGCTTCGTTTATCAAAAATAATCGAGTTGCTAAGTTGAGTCTTTAGAAAAAAAAAGAAAAAAAAAAGTGTAGAAAAACAAAAATCATTTTTAAGTAAAGTCATTCCAGATATAATGTTAAACATACAAGAGCAAACTTAATCCCCGTTTGAAGGTAACATGCATAGTTTCTCCAAATCATGCAATTTGGGTCTGTAGGTACCATCGATGTTGTCCACTTTACCAAGTACTACGGGATGGTCTGCAACGTTTTTGACGAAAGCAATAGCTTCTTCGTTAGATCTTATTCCTAAGACAAACCCAGTTGTATGTGTCTTATTATCGCCCGAATTCGGTTACCTTCCAGTTAGACTGTGTTGGCATTGGAAGGAAACATTAATTCCATTTAGTTAGTATGCAGAATCATTACTGTTCAAGAAAAATAAATTTTCCTAAAAAATGACTTCTTCAGATAAGGGAAGAGTCATAAAAATGCTCGATCCAATGCCATCTCCAGACTAGTAATTAGTAGTTTAAACCAAAAACACATGGACTGGGATGATATGGATGGAGAGATACAATTGTGCATTTGAATGACATAATAAAAGATAAGTTCAACTAAATATATCCTTCACATCCTGCTAAGTGCTTTAGCACATCACTATGCTCTCCTTACGGTAAGGCTTCGCAATTTTGGCAATTGCGGTTGCTCCATATAGTTGACTGAAGGTGTTTCCTTCTTTTTTTTTTTTTTTGTTTATTTGATGACAGTTTTTGGTCCACCTTATATATTTTTATGAGGAGATATTTTTAAACTGAGATTGCTGTCGCTAACTAACGTTTATATCGGGTTTCAAATTAGCACCGGCTCTGGTTTAACAGTTAATAGTTTTTTGTGGTTATTTAAAAAGACGTCTCAATGGATGGAGATGTCAACAAGCATTTTAAACTGACTCAACAGTCTTATGCCGATCAAGAAAATATATGGATATTATATAGATTACATGATGAAGAGAAATGAATAGATGGATCACTATACGCACATTATCTGTGAATAGATCACGTACTCATGAAAATGCATTATAGGCCTTCCTAGTTCCAAAATTATCTAACGAGCAATTTTTTGCTTTCTTTTCGAAGTTCCTTTTGATTTCTAACTAATCAAAGTGGCAATGTCCCTTAAGTTGTTTTAAAATCAACTAAGAGTAATTATACCAGATTTCGACTTCTTATCGGAACTAATGCAAGTCAGAGACTAAACAAGGTTATTTGATACGAAATAAAATGAAAAAGTATTTATGGACATTATGTGGTCTTTGCGGCGTCTTTCAATGTTTTTTAAAAATTTAAAGAATATGCTGCATTTTTTCTCAGAGATAAAAATATTCAATATAAAGTCGTTTGCACTTACTTTGGTTTGTAGCCTCTAGGCGATGGATCGAATCTTTCACAATAATCCGCAATCATAGCCGAATTTTTCATTTTAGAAATGAATTCTTGTCACAACCGAACGCGGTAACGTAACGATTTTCGTTTAACGCGGAAATAGTTGTTAAGACATATAAATCAACATTATCACCACATTCAATGAGTATAACTTCCAAATCATCTAGTGTAAAAATTTTATTGGTATTATTGTTTACGAGAGACTTCCGATTTGACATTAAAGCTCTTTTATAGTTTTTATCTCCAACTCTTCCATTTCCTCTCGAAGGGTATCGGGCGAGCTAGGCAGAGATGGAGGCCGAGGATATATTTTCAGCAAGGTGGGATTTTTGCTTAAAGATTTTTCTCTGGGCTCAGTCATCCTTCAAATAACATCGGCAATAATTTTGAACAGAACGATTGCCTTTGCTTAATGCGAAATAATAAATCAACATTCTTAACATCATCGTAGGTTACGTCAAAGTCTACGGCATTTTCGAGGCAACTCTCTAATCCAGCTATAGCTTTGTTATCTTCAGCAGGGGTAGATATGTCTTGCAACAGCATGAAATTTACTAAAAAGCATCGAACAGGTAATGAGCGCACCAGAAGAAAAGCTCTACGCAACACTTTTGGTTCAGCGAGTGTGTACACTCTCGATCAACGTTATGTATCTTAAAAAATTTACCGCTGGAACCTAGAACCTATCAAAGAAATATTGTTGGCGGTGTTACATTATTGTTGCTCGTATGTAAGACTCACCACTTCACGATAGCAACAATTCTGTTCAGCATTATTAATATTAGAAACGAATACTATGTCGCCGATGTTGAGGGGTTCATTTATTACAAATGGTGGACATTTTCGAATTTCAAAGGCAAAGATATCTTCGTCTTCCAGCGTATTAATAGCTGCTATGAATAATTGCTTGTAACTTACTAAGTGAGTAATATATACAACGGAGCCTTCCCGACACGTACTACACAATAACCCGTTCATAATTTCTATATTTTCTTCATCGATTTTCACTGTTTTCTCTTTAAAAAATTTTAATACAAATTTCACATCTTTTCTCACGCAAAAACGCCGCTTACTTTTTATATCTTCTTCACCGATTTTCACTGTTTTCTCTTCAATAAATTTTAATAAAAATTAAACAACTTTTCTCACGCAAAAACGCCGCTTACTTTCTATATTTTTTTTACCGATTTCCAGTTTTCTCTTTAACAAATTTTAATAAAAATTTCACAACTTTTCTCACGCAAAAACACCGCTTACATTCTAACGGGATTTTGAAAGACGACTTGCATTTTTATCATACAGAGTTGCCAAGTACAATTGTAAGTAGTTGCTAAAAGTTCGTACATTGTTGCCGCGAGTAACCGAAAATAAAATTACTTGATGTGGTAGTTCGTTTATATAAGCCTGGAATTCCCCTTCAGCATAATAGAAATGAGATGAGTTTAAGTTGCTTCTTTTTGATTTCATTCATGTTCATTGAAGGTGTATTGTAAAAAAGCAAATATATTTCTGCTAAATGAAGAGCCATAAATTACACAGTATCAGAGCAGTATTTTTCCGTAATGTCTGATTAAATATCTGCACTAATAATAAATGATAACCACATATAATTGCCGCTCCAGCGTGATCAAAAACCGTACCCTCATTCTATCCAATCCTAAACATTAAAAAATTTTGTTGTTTTCTGTTTTTCCTTATCCGAACTCTATATAGATAAAATCAACCTTTAACTTCACAGTATTGTGTTAGACGCTACTTACCCAATTCATAATTTATCTGCAGCCACACTTAAGTCACTAGATATTTACTTTCGGAAAGCTGCGTTTTATTGTAGCATTGTAAATCTAAGCGGTTTAAAGTTGTTCAGCTGTTGCTTGGAACTTAAGATAGATGACGGGTTAATGGACTATATGAAGACCAATATGCAGACCAATGTCTAAGGTTGTTCAGAATCATAATTACTTGATCTTGCGCACACATTTCAAGAATTTCGGAAATATTGTTATATATATATTTCCAGGGTTTATTATTAAAAGATTGCTGCAGATTTACGAAATGCTTTAAAACATCTCTTCTTGGAGACAATATAATGTAGCGTCTGCGTTGAATAAAAAAAAAAAAGGATGTATCTTTGCATAGTCGAAAATGATTAAAAATACATTTTCTAACAAGCAGTTCTTAAAATACAAAAAAAAATTCAGAAAACAATATTAATGTTTTACTAAATTAAAGCGAAAAATATTTCGTTTTAATTATTTTAATTTACACAATTAAATTTTTTTTTTTTTTAGTATTACTATATATTATACAATGAAAATTTGGAGATTTTCTTTTAAAATTTAAAATTTTTTTTTTTCTATCAAAACCGCACTTTTGCTTTTTTTTTTTAATTAATTAATTGTCAAAAATATATTTCGATGACGCACGGTTTGATAGCTTGACTAACATTATACCAAATTCAACTTATTAGCGATCGCCAGTAAAGTTGAAGTATCAAAAAAGAACTAAATCACAGGTAATTACGATAATTAAATACAAAAGATCTTTGGATAAGAAGAATAATTTTAATAAAAAATATATATATGTATATAAGGTATAAAGAGTAAAACGACGAACTCCATTTGATATCCAAGAAGAAATTCTTTGCTGGAATTTGGGGGTCACACAATTACGCTTATCTAGCGTGTGTTTTTTGTTCTTGATATTCATGAAACGAATTTCCAAGAAATAAAAAATATAATTTTGGTTTTTTTTTTTTTTTTTTTTAATGTTTCAAATTAATATTAATTTTATTTTTAGATAATAATTATT